ACATGAACATACATACACACATACACATATACATGTATGTGTGTATGTATGTTTATGGTGTGTTTCTCCTGAAATCCTGGGAAAGCCTCAAACTATAAACCTCATACTAAACCTCTAACAAAAATGATGGGTAAAGTATTCTCCTAAGCATCATAACATATTTTCTTTTTTTTTTTTTTTTGCTTTTTGGGTCACACCTGGTGATGCACAGGGGTTACTCCTGGCTCTGCACTCAGGAGCTACTCCTGGCGGTGCTCAGGGGATCATTTGGGGTGCTGGGAATCGAACCTGGGTTGGTTGCGTGCAAGGCAAAGACCGTACCCACTGTGCTATTGCTCCAGTGCCCATAACATATTTTCAACCTATAAAATTCTTCCTGACTTATGAGTTGAGATTGTAGCTCAATAGTCAAACACATCCCTTCTATGTCTAATGTCCTGGAGTCAATATCCAGAACCAAAATAAATAAATGTTTGTAATTTTTGTGAACTGATTAATTTGCTCTTTACCATGAGATTGGAGAATGTCTGTCTTTCTATAAAAAGACATAATTCCAGAACCTTTCCATATAATAATTTATGATCAGTTCTTTTACAAGATATTCCCTTTACTGGAACCAGAGAGATAGCTCAGCAAGCTGAGTGTTTGCTCTGCATACAGGAACGCCAGTCTCAGTCCCTGGCACCACATGGTTCCTTGTGCACCTCTGGGAGAAACCCTTTGTTTTCAAGCCGCTTTCATCTTTGGGACAGGTCATCCTTATGAGTCTAAGATATTCGTCTGGAAATTAGACAAAGCATCATTGAATTTTCATGTTAAAAAGCTGCAGGCAAACATTTCTGTATGTCATGTATATGGCACAGAGATTTGTTGAAGCACCAGAAGTGGAAGTCTAGTAGAGAATTTTCATTCAGTAGGACAGAGATATGACAGACTGGAATGTAGAACGCCAGATTTAAACACTTTTGAACAGCAACTCCATGGCACACATTCTCTAATTCCTGGGAACACAAAGTATGTGGGAGTTCCAGTTTTAGTGACTCACTAGAAAGATTCAGAGGACAGTATATAATTTAAATTATGATTTATGATAGTGAAAAAATCTGAAGCAAAAGTGATAAAGACTCAGGAGGCAAAAGTCTACAGGAAAATAAAGTGTAAAGCTTCCTAGCAGAATTAAGTGGGGGTTCATTTAATTCTCCTAGCAATGAGTTGTGACAACATATGTGAGAGTTTGTCTACCAAGGAACCTCTGTTTAGAGACTCAGTGCTCAATCTTGATTTTTGTTGCTGGTCATATAGACCATTTTAATCTAAGCCATACCAAAATTCCAGATTCCCAAAGTGGTTGCAGATGTTTAGCATAAGGCATGCTGTTTGTACAGTTTAGACTGTACAATGGTCATTCTTACATGCAAATGTGGTGAGGAGACCTTCTGGAAGTCAAACTCCCAGATTCAAACTCCAATCAAGGTCCATACTTGCAAACAGTGTTTCAGCGGATAACAGTCTTCTTTAATTCTTTTGTTTGTTAACATATCTTTTTATGCATACAGTGATATAGATAAGTGATCACAATAAAGTCTGATAAATCCAATGATTAAGTCATTCAACTAGAGTTATGGAATCTCAAAGCTTGGATAGGAATGAGATAAATTAGATGTGATTGCTGTACAGTCAAAATCAACTCAGATTCCCATATATAATTTCTCACCTACTAGTAATATGCGTTTCCTTAAAAAAAAGTCTATAGGTACAGTTCAAATTTCTTCTTTGATCCTTCATCCAGAATCCTGTACATCCCAGAAACTCAGTTCTGTCTGTAATATAAATTCAGTCTACTTAGCCCCTTAGATAGATGTTTCTGGTTGTTCATCTCTTTGACTTAGAGACAGTCTTTGGCCCTTAGGCAAGAACCGCCTCATTTCCACTCCCACCAAAACTCCCCCATCCCATATGACCTTCATGAACACTTTAGGAAGTATTTCATTTGGTTTTAAAATGGGGTTGACCAATTTCGCAGCGGGTAGGGAGTTTGCCTTCGGTGCAGTCAACCTGAGTTTGATCACCAGCATCCCACATGGTCCACAGAGCACTGTTGGGATCGGGAGTTCCCTAGCCCTGGGAGGCGTGGAGAGACCAGATAGACACAATTCCTGCAGGAGTAAAAACGGGGTTTATTTAGACCAGCATGCTGGGGCTCCACAGCATAGGCCAGAGTGGGCAGTGGCTGAGAGCCCCGAACTTCTTCAAAGGGGATCTTATATAGGCCTTCACTGGCCGTTACAGCAAGGCCCGCACATTTCATAGCCAATAGATTTGTAACAACATATACTTTCTTAACCAATCCATTTAAAAGTACCTCACTCCTTAGCCTATAGATTCAAAGATAAGCATTTATGTACATCGATTGTCAGCACAAGCAGGGTTATAGCCGGAACCATTAAGCCTTAGGTAATCTCCCTTGACCATCCACATTTTGAGTTACCCAAGTCTGCAGGATGCTTTAGTGAGACAATACACTCCAGGAAAGGGCAATTTCCCCCAACCACTGCATCCTGAGTTATCCTTTACCCAAGTCTGCAGGGTGCTTTACTGAGACAATACATTTCAGGAACAGTAAATACACCTGAATCCTGTCACACTTGGTTTAGAAAGAAGTTATGCCCTGTTCACTTTCCAAGTCCCCTCTCCCCCAGGTGCAAAGCAGCCAAGCAGTTTTACAGAAAGCAATGTTGCAAGTTAGCTGAAGCACGTAAAAATTTGATGCCCTAATATGGATTCTTTCAGCACTACCAAGTATAATTCCTGAGTGCAAATCCAGGAGTAACCTATGAGCATAATTGGGTGTGCCCCCACCAAAAAAAAATCATTCCAGTAGCCAGAGTGATAGTACAATGAGGAAGGTGATTGTCTTGCATGCAGCTGACTCTGGTTTAATCTTTGCATCCCATATGGTACTCTGAGCTAAACTGAAGTGATTCATGAGTGCAGAGCCAGGAGTAATCCCTGGGCATTGCTGAATGTGACCAAAAGAAAAAAAGTCATTCCATTTTTACCCAAGCCTTCAGCTAATTTTCACCCTTCTTCCAGCTATGAAGGAAAGATCCAGAACTATAAATACAGTCTTAGCTGTATTTATCCTGTTATGCAGAAGCTCTCTGAGCTGTGACTGAGTGCAGCCAGCAGCTACTGAGGAATTTTACCCAAACCCTCTCCTTTTCCTTCCTTCAGGAGTGGTTCATAAGGTTTTGAATGGAGGTTACATGTTGTAGACATGTTTTCTTGGCCTCAAAATTTACAACATTCCCAATGACCATGCCAAGGAATCACAAAAAAACAAAAAATCAAAAAAACCCTCTTCAACATAAACCACAGTCCCTGGCAACTCAGACATTAAAGTTTCCCAGAAACTCTTAGATATGACTGTCAATAGAGTTTAAATATTACCATTCTAATAGATCTCCTGCTTAAAAGAAAAAATCACGAAAACAAGAAAAAGCCTTCCAGTATGTTCAATAATTCTGGTGGCAGCTGTTTCTGGGAGTTGTTTGCAGATTGGCAGTGCAAGGCAGGAGTCTGTAAGGCAGAAGGATTATGTGGCACAAATTTCCACTAGGGCAGTTACAACGATAAGGAATTGGAGTACCAGCTTGTTGTCATGTTGCCCAAGGACATAGCCTGCTGGCCCCTAAAACCCGTTTGGAGTCTGAATCGGAATGACATTTGTTGGTGTTCAGAAGAGTCAGGGATGGGTCCGTTATATGATCTATGAACCAGTACCACAGGTCGTGCTATTCTGGAGACCACTTTCCAAGAAGCCAAATGAGTGAATCTGGCCAGTCACTTTTCAGTTTGAAACATTGCACAGCCATTATTTGAGAACATTTCCCCCCTGATGTTATTATGTGGCCTTGTTTCTCACTTTGCTATTTAAGAGATTGAACCCACTGAACATGCTGGTGGCTGCTTTGCTTCTTGACAAGAGCCAGGAGTGCACAGCCCAGGCATATGAGTGCTCCTGGGTCTGAGTCTCTCCTGAATGTCCTCCCAAGAGCTCTGTCTCCTGCTGGCAGCTGGCGCCACTCGGACCATGCTGTTGTTACAGGGATTGTGCCAACGTATATTTTTTTTTCTTTTCCTGCCCAGTGTTGTGATACATGGCAATCTGTGTTTCAATGCATTGGAAACTTTCTATTTTAGTCAAGAACTGTTCCATTTTAAAGCCTTGATTAAAGAGGGGACTGGAGCGATAGCACAGCAATAGGGCGTTTGCCTTGCGGGCAGCCAGCCGAGCCGGGTTTGATTCCTTTACCCCTCTCGGAGAGCCCGGCAAGCTACCAAGAGTATCTCGCCCACACGGCAAAGCCTGGCAAGCTACCCGTGACGTATTCGATATGCCAAACACAGTAACAACAAGTCTCACGATGGAGAAGTTACTGGGCCCGCTCGAGCAAATCGATGAATAACGATGATTAAAGAGGAAGTTTGTTTGTTTTTAAAAATAGAATGCTCGGGGTCATTTTGACCAAGAAATGGATCTAAAGTCAGGTCTTAAAAAGCTGGCAATGTTATGATCTATGTATTCAGAGCCAAGAGGCATGAGATACTTTAGGAAGGACACTGTCAACTTGACGAAGACAGTTTGATGTGAATTTTTTGAAGACAAGGCAACCAAGACTTTGTTATGCAATCATGTTTGAACAGGTGGGGAATTCTCAACTAGATCTTACACAGAGGGTGTGATGATAAGGGAACAATGTTGAGGGATATTTCGAAGACCAAATAATCAGGACTTAGGGTGGGAGGGGAGGGGATAATGGAGGCATTACAGCATCACCCCCGGCTGCTTTGGCTTATATGACTGCATTGAGATAAAGAATATAGGTTAATATCAAAGTTAATATCAAAGTATAACAGCTTCATGCTAGACTCACCCTCTCCCCTCTGTCGAAAGTGTTCTTACTGAATTCTGTCATTTTGGATTTTTTTCTTTGAAGATCCAGAAATGTCCTTGGTGTGTCTGGCAGATTTCCAGGCCCTTGCCCGGGAGCGTCTGTCTAAATCATCTTGGGATTATATTGATGGAGGAGCTGGTGACGGCATCACACGGGATGACAACGTTGCAGCATTTAAAAAGTTTGGTTTTCTGTATTCTTCCTGAACTAAAGTGGTCTGGGTGAGAGTTTGGATGGAGTGGTGCTGCTTTCGAGAAACTAAAGAGTACTCAAGAAAGAACAATTGTTTTTGTGGTGATGGTGTTGGGTTTTCTTGGGGGTTGGGGTAGTTGACTAAGAAGAGGATGAATGGAGAGAGAATTCATCTGCATGTTGCTGCAGAACTAGTACAAGTTAGTCACCTTGTTGAAACCGGGTGTTCACTTAATCAGGCACATGGAGATAATTCATGGTGGGGGACCAAGGAGGTCTTTATTACACCAGCTGATCATACCCATGGGTCTAGCCTAGCCAGCTCCATTAACTTTAGACTAAGCTCAAAGTCCAAGAGCTGTTTGTATTGGGCATTACTGCAAAGTCATCTTCACTTTGCTTCATGCTCAAGCATCGTGGGCACCCATACATGATGGCATCTTATAAGGGTTTCTAAAATCAGCATTTTCTCAGCTTGGAACAGGGAGGTTCATTCCAAATGCAGACAGAGTGGGCAGCATTTTAAAACTTTCCACCCACAAGCAAAACCATCTTTTTTTTTGTTAATTAGTGAAACACCATGAGGTACAGTTGTAGATTTACAAATTTTTGTGCTTGGGTTTCGATTATACAATGATCAAGTACCCATCCCTCCACCAGTGCCCATTTTCCACCACCATGGATAATATCCCTCCCATTCCCATCCCCCCCATCCCACCCTGCCTCTGTGGCAGGGCATTCCCTTTTGTTCTCTCTCTCCCTTTGGGTGTTGTGGTCTGCAAAAGAGGCATTGAGTGGCAAACATGTTCAGTCCATAGTCTACTCCCAACACGCATCTCCCCTCCTGGGATGAGCCTCCAAACACCCTTTATTTGGTGCTCCCTTCTCTATCTGAGCTGCCCTTTCCCTTAGAATACCCGGCTGGCCTCTAAGCTATGGAGTAATCCTCCTGGTGCTGATCTCAGCTATTCTTGGGTATTAATCTCATATTTTGTTACTTTATGTTCCCCAGATAAATGCAATATTTCTATGTCTATCGCTCTCTTTCCGACTCATTTCGCTTAGCATGATACTTTCCATGTTGTACCACTTGTATGTAAATTTCATGACTTTATCTTTTCTAACAGCTACATAGTACTCCATTGTGTAGCAAAACCATCTAAATAAGCTATAAAACCAAAGGTACATAGAATAATTTTTACCATAACAACCCCCCACTCCTCTCTGCATCCCAGCAACTTGCCACCTGCCAAAGGACAGGAGTCCTGGGGTCCGCAATAATATTGCCCTGAGCAGAGAGACACCAGCTGAATAAGCCTAAATCTCTGGAATTCCTAAACTGCTGGCTTCAAAGAGAGACTGGACACAGGAGAGAGGCTTAAAGTTAGAGGAAAGATGGCCCATGAAGTATTGGGGATCAACATTCATTTAAGGCAGAAGAATTGGACCAGGAGAGTGGGATGGAGCAGGGATCAGCAAAAGTAGCACAGAATCCAAGTCTAGCCATCATCTGTCTCTGCATAGCCCAGAAACTAAAGATGAGGGCCAGGGAGATTTTTGTGTTTGTTTCAAAGTTGTTCAGGAAAGAAGTCAAAAGAAGCATTTATGACATGTAAAAAATATGTTTTTGCCTTCAAACAGCAGAGCTGAGTTACTGTCACAAATTATATGATCTGCAAAGCCTAAAATATCTATATGCTATTTCTGCTTTCTCACCTGAGAGAAATAGCCTAAAATGCATTCCTGCTTGTCCCTTTCCATTCTAACTCTTGTTCTGATTAAATAACCAAAGCATTCAGGGGCCACAGTGACAGTGCAGTGCATAGGGCGCTTGCCTTGCACACCGATAACCTGGGGTTTGATCCCCAAAACCTCATATTGTCCCCTGAACACCACAGGTTGTGCCTCCCCCTGAAAAAAAAATTAAAAACTAACCAAAGCATTTAAATGCAATCTGGTCAGGGAGGCATGGCTCTGAAACACAGACCAAGACAGAGCAAGACAGCAGATGGTGTTGTGCGTGTGTACTCTTGGGATTCACTGAATTAACAGGATTAATGCAGATCAGGGCACTTCAAGAAGTTTTTTTTTGGGGGGTGCAGTTTCAGTATGTTTCACACCATAAAGGGGTGCTAGTCTCTACCCCTCTATAATGTTGTTAAATGAACAATCCATCTTTTAAAGAAAGGAAGCTTGTAAGAAGAGAGAGTCTCCAGTCAGTATATACCACCTAACTGACCCACCAGAGGCTACTCAACACCCATTGTGGTCAGACCTGCCAGGTGAATCTGGAGTTTGCAGCAGGAGTGTCTCCATGATGAAAAGTAACCCCACTGAATGCCCTGCCACAGAGGCAGGGTGGGACGGGGGGATGGGGGGTGGGAGGGATGCTGGGACCCATGGTAGTGGAGGATGGGCACTGGTGAAGGGATGGGTACTTGATCATTGTATAACTGAAACCCAAGCACAAAAATTTATAAGTCTATAACTGTACCTCATGGTGTTTCACTAATAAAAAAAAGTAACCCCACTAACAAGCTATATCTTTGTTGTCTAGCACAGAATTCGCCTTCGTCCCCGTTACTTGAAGGACATGTCCAAGGTGGACATCAGGACCACAATCCAAGGGCAGGAGGTCAGCGCCCCCATTTGCATCTCACCCACAGGTTTTCACTGCCTGGCCTGGCCTGATGGAGAAATGAGCACAGCCAGAGGTATGCAACCGCCTCACCTGCTGGTCCTTTCCGACGGCCTCAAGGTGCAGTAAGTGACCTCAGAGCAGAGGCAGGCAGTGCCAGGGTTTTCCTAGGAAAGGGATTCAGGACAAATATGGTCAGAATTGAGGAGGCTGGAAGAAGAATGCTTAAAGCTACGTTGGCATAACATTACACCTAAGGTTGAGAAAACGTCCATTTTTCACAGTAAAAATGGTTAGAGCGGGAAGGGGCTATCGGCAAAGAGAGGAGTGTGAAAATCCCACCAATCCATCACTAATAAGAGGGGATCTAGCCCCACTGTGGAACTAAGGATGCTTCAAATGGCTCGAGGATCCTCTCCCCAGCCTATCACGGGATATGACTAAATAAGGTAAAGGTAAAGGTAAAGGTAAAGGCCCTCCCGTTGATCGTCAATTTGCTCGAGCGGGCTGGAGCGATAGCACAGCGGATAGGGCGTTCGCCTTACAAGCGGCCAACATGGCCAACCCGAGTTCGATTCCTCCGCCCCTCTCGGAGAGCCCAGCAAGCTACCGAGAGTATTCGATATGCCAGACACAGTAACAACAAAAGTCTCCAATGGAGACGTTACTGGGCCCGTTCGATGACTAAATAAAGGGGAGGAAATTAGAACGACAAGGACGTGCTATGAGGTCTTAATACAAGCTCAGAAGGTCCATTTCTCCTCTCCTCCATTGACTTTCTTATATTATTTGAAAGATTGTGGGGAGGGGAGACAAAGCAATAATCAGAGGGTCCAGGGGCCACTCCCAGCATTGCTCAGGGCCACCAGGAGTGGGGTGAGTCACGCAGTGCTGGTGACTGAACTTGGGACCTCTGTCTGCTGACCCTTTGAAGTATCTTCCCCAACCCCACAAAAAGTGCTAATTGAGTTATTTCTCCTTCTAAGCAGTTTCTCATCCTCCTCCCTTAACTTCCCCACTAAAAATGTAATGAATGGATGAATGGGGCTGGAGAGATAGCACAGCGGGTAGGGCCTTTGCCTTGCACGCGGCCGACCCGGGTTCGATTCCCAGCATCCCATATGGCCCCCTGAGCACCGCCAGGAGTAACTCCTGAGTGCAGAGCCAGGAGTAACCCCTGTGCATCGCCAGGGGTTAAAAAGCAAAAAAAAAAAAAAAGTAATGAAAAGAGAGAGAAGAGAAGGGGAGGGGAGTACAAGGGAGGAGAGGGGCAGGGCAGGAACAAAGAGGAGAGAGGGTTGGAAGAGAGAGGGGAAGGGAGAAGGAGAGGAGGAAAAGGGAGGAGCGAAGGGAAGGAGAGGACAGGGGAGAGGAGAGGGGAGAGGACGAAGAGAGAAAAGAGGAGAGGAGTGCTCAGGCATTATTCCTGGCTCTGCATTCAGGGGTCACTCCTGGAAGTGCTCAGGGCGCCATATGAGGTCTGGGGATTGAACCCAGGTCAGTCACATGCAAAGAAGTTGCCCTACCCCCGTACTATCATTCCAGCTCCACTCCCCCATCCCCTACCATGTCTAGTTTTAATCTCCCAAATTTACAAATATATATGGCCCGGAGCAATAGCACAGCGGGTAGGGCGTTTGCCTTGCACGCAGCCAACATGGCCGAGCCGAGTTCGATTCCTCCGCCCCTCTCGGAGAGCCCGGCAAGCTACCGAGAGTATTCGATATGCCAGACACAGTAACAACAAAGTCTCCAATGGAGACGTTACTGGGCCCGCTCGAGCAAATCGATGATCAATGGGAGGGCCTTTACCTTTATATATATATATAAGGTCTCCATTGGAGACCTTTATATATATATATATATATATATATATATATATATATTACTTTTCTATTTCACAGATAAAAAAAAAGTGAGACTCAGGCTACTCACCGCAAAGTGGTACTATGGACATTCCCACTTCAGATGTAGTGTTTTTTCAAACCACAAAGTTCCGATTTCTCCATTGGAATCACATTTCCTCACTACCCCCGCCCTCCTTAATCCATTCTGTTTCAGAAATGAGAAGATAAATATTTTTGCTCTGAAAACTACAGCTTGCCCAACGTGGCATGGGGATGAAATGACATCTCAAGTTATAATTGCTTTTCTATGGCCCGCAGATTTGTCGACTTAGATAGATTTAGGGACCTGAGTCTGATGAAACGCACACCTCCCCCCCACCCACCCACACACACACACATATACACACATCCCCACCGCCACACCGTTCCTGCCCTCCAGATAAGCAGAATGACGTCAAGACTGGTCTTAGTTACAGAGCAAGGCGGCACAGACTAGGCTTGCTGACAGCACAGACGCCGCCGCCCTACAGAGCTGTGGATTTGCTTTGCAGCTGCACAAGCCGCTGATGTCTGCTACGTCACCAGCACCTATGCCAGCTGCACCTTGGAGGACATTGTCACGACCGCCCCCAGAGGCCTACGCTGGTTCCAACTCTACGTGCTGCCCGATCGGGAGCTAAACAAACAGCTGATCCGGAGAGTAGAATCCCTGGGTTTCAAAGCCCTGGTGATCACGGTGGATGTCCCCACACTTGGCAACAGGCGACACGACATTCGGAACCAACTGGACTTGAAGTCAAACTTACTGCTAAAGAATCTCCGGTCCCCTAAAGAGGTAGGAGAGATAACACACACCAAAGCAAATAGGCAGGCACTACGGGAGACAAATCTCCACCCCGTCCTCCCCTTGTTTCTTGCCATGAAAATGGATTCAGTATCTGCTCTGTGTCCGACAGTGAGGATGCAACAGCTCAGGAGGCAGATCAGGTTCCTGCTCCCCAGACCTTCCAGATGAGCAGAACATGAAACAAAATGTTCTCACTCTAGCAGCTGCCCAACCTGCCCCCAGAACTGCTCTGGCTGGAGAAATGGGAAAGCCGGGAAATAGGAAAAGGAAGGAAAGGATTTTTTGCATGGTGTAGGAAAGTAATGAAGCAAGTTCGGAACACCCAGCAAACTGACAAATTTGGGTGGCCCACTTGGTTAACCACCCCCTGGAGACATTCTGAGCCCCGATGACTGGCCTTTGCAGCGTACCAGCTTAGGCCCAGTTCATTTGCCTTGCGAACTCTCTCTGCACACCTAGAATTCACCGTGGATGTAGATCACACTTGCTTGGAATCTCTGAATGAGGTACTTTCTCCTTTAAACCCCACAGTTAGATGGATGAAGCAAGCCAAGTTTTCATCCACTGGACAATAGAAACAGTGCTTTTAGCCCTCTCCAGCAAATGGGCATCAGTGATGACCAACCATGTGACTCGGTGGTTACACTCAATAGCCATGATGAAACAGCCATGATGAAACAGCCATTTGTAAGGAAGAAATTCTTTCTTACTTATCTCAAATTTCAAAGCACGTTTGTAGTTAATTGATATGCATGGTAAAAAGATAAAGGATAAATAGCACATAATACCCTGTTAGGATTACTGAAGTATTTCTTCATTCTTATGACACTGAGAATATCTCAACTCTATGTATTTGATTTCTCTTTGCTTTATTTGATGATTTATTAACGAGACAGGGTCTAAACATCATTTTGCTTATTCCACAAACTGAATCCTAAGGAGTTTTTTTTTTAATTTATTTGAAGTAAAATAGCTTCATTTATGGATTATAAGGAGGGAATCACTTCACTTGTCACTTGTATCACTTGTCATCCTGTTAATCTTTGATTTGAGGAGGGAAGGAAGGAGAGAAAGAATGTGTTATGTGTTCAGGAGAGAATGCAGTGACCTCCAAGGGAAGAGAGACAAGGGTACCCCAAAAAGTAAAAGAAAGGGAGAAAGAAATTTTACATCTTAGACTGAGATGCAAGCACTTCTCCCCAAAATGGGGGTGTTAACTGTGTTTTTTTTAAATAGGGACTAGTTCTTTTCTTTAAAAAGTGGGGTTTCTTTTAGCTTTTGAGGTCACAGCGGCGACTCTCAGGGGTTATTCCTGGCTCTGCACTAAGGAATCACTCCTGGCAGTATTTGGGGGACCATATGGGATAAAAAGGTAAAAAGGTAAAGGCCCTCCCGTTGATCGTCGATTTGCTCGAGCGGGCCCAGTAACGTCTCCATTGGAGACTTTGTTGTTACTGTGTCTGGCATATCGAATACTCTCGGTAGCTTGCCGGGCTCTCTGAGAGGGGCGGAGGAATCGAACTCGGGTCGGCCATGTTGGCCGCTTGTAAGGCGAACACCCTACTGGCTGTGCTATCGCTCCAGCCCATGGGGATTAAACCCAAGTCGGCCACACGCAAGACAACCGCCCTACCCACTGTACTATCGCTCTGGCCTGGGACTAGTTCTTATTTGCATTTGTGTCTCCAATCCTGACAAAGTTGTAATTGTATAATTATTATACAATTAAAATAAAAATTATTTTTGCATCAATTTTGTTAAGAAAAGCTGCTGAGAGAAGTCAGATTGGATGTTATAGCTCCTCTTTCACACTTCTAAGTGGGGACTCCACCATTGTTTCATCTTTGGAATGGATCAAGCAGTATTGAAATGTTTAAAAACTCAGGTTCTCTTTATTCTCAGCAGGGAAACATAATGCCTAATCTCCAAATGACTCCCATTGATCCATCCATCTCCTGGAATGATCTGTCCTGGTTTCAGAGCATAACTCAGTTGCCCATCATCCTTAAAGGGATCTTGACCAAAGAGGACGCAGAGTTAGCTGTGAAGCACAATGTCCATGGCATCATCGTTTCCAACCATGGTGGAAGGCAGCTTGATGAGGTTTCTGCTTCTGTAAGTAGGGTAATATAGAGTGGGTATGCGCCGTGTAATCACATCAATGGCCAAGACCCAGAGACTATAAAATCCAGCTCCCAGAAGGGCGCGGCCGCATTTGCGGCAGCATGACATCTTATAATCTCATTCTTACTTTGGACAACCTGGCAGGCTACCGAATGTAGACTGCCCACATGGCAGAGTCTGGCAAACTCCCCGTGGCGTACCCAATATGCCAAATACCAGTAACAATGATAGGTCTCATTCTCCTAATCCTGAAAGAGCCTTGAATATGGCACTTTTTAAAATCTCAGGGCTAGGACGAAGGAGCCGTTACTGGTGCCTGCTCAAGGCAATCGATGAACAACAGGATGATCGTGATCGTGATCGTGATGCTTGTGAATGATGTGTGTGTGTGTGTGTGTGTGTGTGACCATAACAGACAAATCTTTGTAATCTGATGAACATTCCCCCATTACCACATTTGATCCTATCTACCTGTAAACTGATGGGGATGGGGGAGGGCTAATCCTTAATTAGAGCTTTAATAAGTGCCAGGGTATTTTTTTAACTTCATGTCCAAATCACACAATAGTTCTTCAGGATGAGTATGCTGGGATGTCTGTTTTTTTTTTGTTGTTGTTGGTAATTTATTTTTATTATTTATTTATTATTTATTTATTTTTTTTTAATTTTTTTTATTTATGTATTGAATCACCGTGGGAAAGGTTACAAAGCTTTCAGGTTTAGGTCTCAGTCATGCAAATATCAAACACATTTCCCTTTACCAATACTTATTTTTTACCATGAAGAACCCCAATAAAACCCCACCCCTCACCCCTCCCAGTCCCTGTGAGGCAGATGAATTCTAGTTAACACTCTATCTGCTTTGATTAGATTCATTGTTTCAATAAAAGATTCACCACTATTATTTAGAGTTTACCCCCCCCCCCCAAATCAGACATGCTGAAAAAGCATTGTGAAGTGATTTGCTTTCTACAGCTGGGTTCAAGAATTAAATGTTGGTTTTGGATTTCTGCTATTTTACTTATTGACCCTGGAAGTATTTCTACTGAAAGTCAGATAGTTAAGAAATTGGTTTCTGTGCTCTAGAGTCGTGGCCGTGGTGGAGAGCCGCTCGTGGGGGGCAACTGGTGGCCTCGGTAGGGCGTGAAGAGTGGACCGAAACGCCCCCCTTCCCATGAGGTTTTAGTCGCCCCAACTCCCCCGGCTCATACCTGCTGTCCACAAGGCTCCCATGCGGCCGCCATCTTTCTTTCCAGAGAGGAGAAGGCTACTGGGGCAACACCCTTTCCCCTCTGGACAGACATGATGGCCTGGATTAACGCATAGTCCTTTCACTTTTCTGCTCCAAGCTGCCGGGTTCTGCATTAAGTCCTTGTGCTTCTGGGGCCGTGGCCGTGCTAGAGAGCCACTCGCGGGGGCAACTGGTGACCTCGGTAGGGCGTAAAGGACGGACCGGAATGCCCCCCTTCCCATGAGGTTTTAGTCGCCCCCACACCCCCGGCTCATACCTGCTGTCCACAAGGCTCCCATGTGGCCGCCATCTTTCTTTCCAGAGGAAGGAGGGCGGAAGGGACCAACACCCTTTCCCCTCCAGGCAGACATGATGGCCTGGATTAACGCATAGTCCTTTCACTTTTCTGCTCCAAGCTGCTGGGTTCTGCATTAAGTCCTTGTGCTTCTGGGGCCGTGGCCGTGCAGGAGAGCCGCTCGCGGGGGGCAACTGGTGACCTTGGTAGGGCGTGAAGGACGGACCGGAACACCCCCCTTCCCATGAGGTTTTAGTCGCCCCCACACCCCCGGCTCATACCTGCTGTCCACAAGGCTCCCATGTGGCCGCCATCTTTCTTTCCAGAGGGAGGAGGGCAGAAGGGACCAACACCCTTTCCCCTCCGGGCAGACATGATGGCCTGGATTAACGCATAGTCCTTTCACTTTTCTGCTCCAAGCTGCTGGGTTCTGCATTAAGTCCTTGTGCTTCTGGGGCTGTGGCCGTGCTGGAGAGCCACTCGTGGGAGGCAACTGGTGACCTCGGTAGGGCGTGAAGGATGGACTGGAACGCCCCCCTTCCCATGAGGTTTTAGTCGCCCCCACACCCCCGGCTCATACCTGCTGTCCACAAGGCTGGGATGTCTGTTTTGCAGGTGGGATCCCTGGGTTTGGAGATGCTGAGTTAACTTGTCCATGTTTGTACAATCAATAAGTGGCTAAAGTGAAATTCAAAAAGCAAAAAGTTCTGAAAATCCTGAATCTCTTGCCTTACTGTAAAAGTACTGAGTTTGAAACTCGCCTCTATACATGGATTGTAACTCATATTTTCTCAAAGACACACCCTCAGAAGGAATATTGCCTCTCAGATAATAAATAACCCCAAACTTAAAAATGATCTATGAAATATTTGCTAGAAATCTGAGAGTATGTGGTTTTCCCCCTTAATTATGAATATATGTCTATTTTATATTTGGGGAAAGGAAATGAAGAGGAGACAGATCAGGAAAAAATGTTAATTAAATTATTTGTTAATTTTTATGGGATATGCTGGTAACCTTTTTTCCCAAGTGATTCTTCTATTACTTCTCGACTCATTTTAAGAAAGAGAAGTGAGGACTGGGAAGAAATCTCAGCAATTAGGGTCCCGTGTACTGCTTGAACCAAGACCCAGTGTGAACCCTGGGTATAGCCCTAAAGGACCCTCAAGCACCACCATGATGGCCCTGGTGGTCCCAGCACCACAAGGCATGAGCATCTCTGCATCCTTGGCCTCTAGCTTTGAATCCCCAGCCCCACTGACCCAGTGCCACTGAAAGCAGTCTCCAGACCCTCGGGAACACTGCTTAGGAAGGCTCCTCCCAGAGAAAAGGGAAGTGGGAGCTGTAGATATAGCTCAAGTGATAGTTATAAGGTAGAGCCTTGTAAGTGTGAGGTCCCCATATAATTCATGGGCTCCTTGCTCACAATAATAATAATAAGGTAAAGGTAAAGGCCCTCCCGTTGATCGTCGATTTGCTCGAGCGGGCCCAGTAACGTCTCCATTGGAGACTTTGTTGTTACTGTGTCTGGCATATCGAATACTCTCGGTAGCTTGCCGGGCTCTCCGAGAGGGGCGGAGGAATCGAACTCGGGTCGGCCATGTTGGCCGCGTGTAAGGCGAACGCCCTACCCGCTGTGCTATCGCTCCAGCCCTGAGGTCAGGATATAGCCCAGTGGTAGGGCACTTGCCTTGAGTATGTGAGGTCCAGGGTTTGATCCCTGACACCACAATAATAATAATAATAATAATAATAATAATAATAATAGTCAGAGAGATAGTACTATGGTCAGGACACATGCCTTGCATGCGGCAGTCTTGAGTTCAATCCCCATCACCACTTATGGTCCCTCAAACATGCCAGGAATTATCCCTGAGCAGAGTCAGCAGTAAGCTCTGAGCACAGCTGGTGTGACCCAAAACCAAACTAGGGAGTAAGGCTACCTGGGCTCAGGGCACTTCATGCCCTTCCTCCTACCCTGTGCCAGCATCACTGGGAGTGGCCCATGTGGGCCAGGGCACAGCAGGGCTGAAAAGAGTTGAAAGAGTAAAATAAAATGGAACAGGGGACCAATTTGATCATGGAAGTGGTACTGGTGTTGCTGTTCTGCCCTGACCATTGTTGTTGACTCATCAGGCTCGTTGGCTGGGGGTCATCTCCAGGATCTCTGAACACTACTTGAGAGCAGCACTGCAAAAGGAGTTATTTTTTACTTTAAAAAGAAAAGTGAGTGAGGATTTTCCCTCGGTTTTGGGTTATTTTGTTTTGCTTTTTTGTTATATAACCAAGCCATGAGAAGTTGTAAAGATAAAAAGGTCATTGCTACCATTTATGTAGATATTTGGGTATGTTTTAATCAACTTTTAAAATAAAAATACTGTTTTAGTTTTAAAAATGCCAATATTTTATTATTTATACTTATCAATGTACGATATGCAGCACTACATTTTAATATATAGGCTCCTCTTATTTTTAATCAGTGAACAATTTATATAATGAATTTTCTATTGTTGAAAGTCCTGGGATGTGTCCAAACTTTCACCATTCCATTTTACATTTAATTGATTTATCATTGATTTCCAACACTTCATGTATGTACACACCCTGCTGAACCCGGTACCAGTACCACTTCCATGATCAAATTGGTCCCTTGTTCCACTTCCACCTTCTTCGCCTCCTTTGCTGCATTTTTTTTTACTCTTTCAGAGTTTGTTTTTGGTGTGTGTGTGTGTGTGTGTGTGTGTGTGTGTGTGTGTGATTTTTTTATTTGTTTCCTGGGGTCGGAGAGCCCGGCAAGCTACCGAGAGTATTCGATATGCCAGACACAGTAACAACAAATTCTCCAATGGAGACGTTACTGGGCCCGCTCGAGCAAATCGACGATCAATGGGAGGGCCTTTACTTTTACTTTTACTTTACTGGGCTGGAGTGATAGCACAGCAGGTAAGGCATTTGCCTTGCACACGGCCAACCCGAATTCGATTCTTCTGCCCCTCTCAGAGAGCCTGGAAAGCTACTGAGAGTCTCTCCCTGCACAGCAAAGCCTGGCAAGCTACCCGTGATGTATTCAATATGCCAAACACAGTAACAAGTCTCACAATGTGTTGTGAGATGTTACTAGTGCCTGCTAGGGCAAATTGATGAACAACGGGACAACAATGCTTCCTGGTTTTTATTTGTTTGGGCTTTTTTGTCACACCCAGTTGTGCTCAGGGATCACTTCTGGCAGGATTGTACCTGGGCCAAATGCATGCAACCCAAGTGTCCTACCTGCTGTATTATCTCTTAAAGTCCCATTGCAATCTTTAGATGGCTTTGCTTTGGTTATTCTACCAAAAAAGAAACTATCCTGTACTAGTCTCACTTTCTGTCATATTTAGGTAAGCATAACCCCCTCAAGTTTTATCTGTGCTGTTAAAAAAGGCAAGATCTTCCCTTTCATTATAGATAAATTGTATTTAATTAAGCATGTTCACCAGAAATATGTTATTTTTTCTTTTGGGGCCACACTCTTTGTTACAAATGTAGAGTGATTACAGATTTAGTGTCGTGTTGTTTATTTCTATGTAAATATTTGGGAGTGCTGTTGCTGGTCGGGTGGTATTTCTATTCTAGGATTTTTGTTATGGTTTTTGGTTTGGGGCCTACACCTAACTATACTCAGAGCTTACTACCTATGCTCAGGGATTCCCTTGGTGTAGTGCTCAGAGGGCCACATGGAATGTCAGGATTTGAACTAGGTTCAATCATATACAAGGCAAGTGCCCTACTTACTATATTCTGAATTGGTGGGTTTTGTTTTTTTTGTTTGTTTTTTTGGGTCACACCTGACGATGTTCATGGATGACTCCTGGGTCTACACTCAGGAGTTACTCCTGGCAGTGCTCAGAGGATCATATGGGATGCTGGGGGTCGAATTCAGGTTGGCTGCGTGCAAGGCAAATGCCCTACCCGCTGTACTATTTCTACAGCCCTATATTCTGAGTTTGGTTTTTTTGTTTTTTTTTGTTTGTTTTTTAAGGAACCATTTTCCATAGAATCTACATCAATGTATATTCCTACATGCTATATGGGAGTTTTTGTTTCTCTGAACCCTTACCAACACATGTTGTTTCCATCCAGTCTTCTCAATGTAAGCCATTCTCACATGCACGAGAATATTTAACTGTGATTTTGATTTGCATTTCCCTAGCTCTAAGTGAAATCTGAGCATTTTTTTTCATGAGGCCATTTGCCATCTGTATGTCTTCTTTGGAGAAGTGTGCAACTAAAATTCCTGTTTATTTTGTAACTAGATTGTTTGTTGTTGAGTTGTATGAGTTCCTGATGTATGTTGGGTATTAATTCCTCATTTGGTGTAAAATGGACAAGAAGTAGAGTGCTATTTCATTTTTGTGGTGGTTTCTTTTGCTGTACCAAAAGCTTTTTAATTTTATATAGTTCTTTTAGTTAGTTTCATTTTTGTTTTCTTAGCTATTAGAGTTAGTTCACTGAGGCATCTCTGCAGCCAATGTAACAAGGATTATGATTATTATCCATATTTTCTTCTAAGGATTTTATGACAATTTAATGGATAAAGACTTTAATTTTCGTTAATGCTTGTTTAATAAGGATTTAGTCTAATTATTTGGCACCATCTGTTGAAGAGGCTTGATTTCTTCCATTGCATGATCTTGACTCATTTGTCATAAATTAAGTCTCCATACATGTAAGATGTTCAGTTTTATTCCATTGGTCTTTGTGCCTGGTTTTGTTCCAATGTTAAACTGTTTTGAACCTGGCCACTTTATAAGTACACTTTGAAGTCAGAAAAGAAGGTGCCTCCATTTTCCTCCTTTTTGTTTTTTGGGGATTACTTTGACTGTCCAGAGAAATCTTCCCCTGTTTTAAACAATGCAACGGGGACCATCCTTAAATCCTTAACACATTCTCAATTACTTCTCTAAGACAAATTCCAAGAAATAGAAAAACAGCATCAATTGCTTTGTATTTTCCAAGGCTTATGAAGCTTAAGGTATGAATTATTGGCTTTCTCCTCTCCACCCGATTCTGAGAGAAAACAGACATGGAAATAAAAGCCCACATGGAGAACAAGAGGAACACTTACTGTAGCTTTCCACAAGAACCGAATTAAAGGGAATGGTGAGGCCTCTACTCTTCAGTCCAGCTCTTGACCTGTAATCCAGGAGGAACAGGCCTGTAGAAGACAGAGAACACACTCCAGGTTTTTCCTGGGGGTCCTTCAGGGGTTCCCACATGCCACCTCTCACACAGAACAGAGAATATGGAAGAGTAGAGCAGACCCTGGTTTGTCCCAACAGTGCTGACAAAGTTGGATCATAAAGCACAGATGAGCCTGTCACCAACATGCAGCAAATAGGATGCACTATTAAATCTCAAACCAATTCTAATACAATATTTTACAATAGGCTCAATCTCATAAATTATTGTAGCTAGTCTTGCTTTTGTGGGGAGGACTTAATAATGGATCTGGAAAGAAGCTAAATAATTCTCCCTGTGTGCTTACTGAACAGAAAATGAGTATTGGCAGAATCCAGAAGGAAGAATTTTGTCTTTGCCAACGCTCATTAGGTTTCTAGAACTCCTCTTGGATTGTCCCCCAAAGAAGCACAAAGCAGTTCCTTCCAACCTTTAACCCAAGGACCCACCTCCCAGGCTCTGCTGAGCCTGGCTCAGACTAATAATCTGCTTTCAACTGGCCTTCAGAGGCTTCAATTCGTTTGTTTTATCATGCAGCTGCCCTGCTGTTATCTTACCTCAGATACCCTCTGAGGGTCAGGAACAAGTTGCTCAAATACGATGTATAGAGAGTGATGTTGGACATGACCAGACTGCTCCAAATGTGCTGCCCATGACCCATCCCCATTGCTTTGCAAAAAGACTTAGTACCTTAGTGATGGAAAACATTTCTGGCTCTCCCACCCTAGAAACAGCAGGGGAACTCCGCTGATGGGAATGTTGTCTGGTTTAACTCCTATGGAAAATAGTATGGAGATTTCTTGGAAAAGTAAAATTGAGGTGACAGATGACCCAGCAACTCCACTTGGCATCTAGCCCCAGGACACAAAAGCATTCATCCCAAAGAACGTTTGCACACCATTACTGATTGCAGTGCAATTGCCAAGATATGGAATCAACCTAGATGATTGATGAGAGAAGAGTAGATAATGAAGGTATGGTTCATATGCACAGTGGAATACTATGCAGCTGTAAGGAATGATAAAATCGTGCAATTTTATGAGACTTAGATGGAACTGGAGAAAATCATGTTAGGTGAAGTGAGTCAGAAGAAACAGGACAAATACCAGGTGATCTCACTTAACCGTAGCATATAAAATAACTCGATGAGGGAATGCAAAATACCAAAGGTGAGAGATATGTATTGCCGCATCCCGCACGGCCAACTTGAACCTTGGGCGGAGTGAGGGAGTGAGAGCTCACCAGGGCTAGGGAGGACTGCATGCAATATGCAGCATACCGCTAGTTTATTTTCATCCATGCTGGTCTATATAGTCTTATTTTAGCAATGATCAGCAGGTTACATAAGCTTCATTGTCCTGTCCTGTCCTCCCATTATTCATCGATTTGCTCGAGTGGGCCCAGTAACGTCTCCATTGGAGACTTTGTTGTTACTGTGTTTGGCATATTGAATATGTCACGGGGAGCTGGCCAGACTCTGCTGTGTGGGCGAGATACTCTCCGTAGCTTGCCGGGTTCTCCGAGAGGGGCGGAGGAATTGAACTTGGGTCGGCCATGTTGGCTGCGTGCAAGGCAAACGCCCTACCGCTGTGCTATTGCTCCAGCCCTACATAAGCTTCATTAACAATATTAATCATGCTGTGCAAGCAACTTTATTTTTACCAATATTACTTATTTTACGGTTGCTTCTTGTTTTTTGGTTCCTTATCTCAGCCCTGAGAAACAAGGATGGAGATGTGGCCTCGGACCTGGTCAAGGCAGATATGAGCCAATCCTCCCTTCAGCCTCCTCTCAAGTCCAGTTGCTAGAGCATAGTGACCCTTCGACCTCCTTTCCAGGCTGGCCACCAGAGCATAGTGGCCTTTCAGCTGCCTGTCAAGGTCTGCTGTCAGGAGATGGCTCACTCTCACACCAAGTTTCTCCATCCCTGTGTATAGGAACAGAGGCAGGGAATGCCTAGGCCCGTCCCCAACAATGTATATTTTCCTTTTAGATTATAGAAATGAGAATGACAGGGTATACAAGAAATTGAGGGGGGAGTAAGAGAAGGAAGATTGGAAGTAGCAGAGGTAGGGTCCAGGGTTTCAGGCACATCAGCACATCTGTTGGCAGTAAGGTAGGATGTGTTACATCTATACACCTGAGCCAGAGTCAACAACACTGGAAGCATGAAACCCAAACTACAACAACCAAACTTAACAATGTGCCTTTCAAGGGGGCAGAATGGTGGGTGGGATGGAACCTGGTAACATTGGCGGAGGGAAGTTAACACTGGTGGTGGGATTGGGGCTGGAACGCTGTATGCCTGAAGCTCAATTATGAGCGATGTTGTATATCCCAGACCCTTAGTAAAAGGAAGAAAGAAAAATTAAAACAAAAGAAAGAAACAGCAGGCGTACAAAAAGAAAAGCAAAAATCAATTACCTGGTTTCTTTTTTTCAAATGAAGCTGTGGGAGTGACTAGTGTAAATGAAAAACATCTCCTCCATAATTTGAGGAGGTGTCATACTGTGACGAGTGTCTTTGAAGCTGCCCTTTGGTCAGAGCCGAGATCTGCAGGCAGGAAAGCCAGGAGAGAAAACCTGGACACTTGAAACGAGGCAGCAGTTGGGTAAGAGCAGCACTATTCAAGCCAGAATCAGGCAGGCACGACTGGACACACTCCTCACCACTTCCTGAACCAATTCTTAGTCCCAGTCCACACGGAGGGGGTCCCCTGGGCTTATAGGCCTGGAGCGTGCGGACAGAGACATCAGAGACATCTTAAACCCTACACGTCTTTCCTTTACAGATCGATGCCTTGCCAGAAGTGGTGGCTGCCGTGAAGGGACGTGTTGAAGTATACGTGGATGGTGGGATCAGGTCTGGCAACGACGTGCTCAAGGCGCTGGCCCTCGGGGCTAAGTGTGTGTTCGTCGGGAGACCAATCCTGTGGGGTCTTGCCTGCCAGGTGAGGGGGCAGTGTGAAAACCAGCTGCAAGGTAGTTCAACTTCTCTCTTCCCAGGCTTCTCTGTGATCTCACCTCCAGACTCAGCTGCTAGTTTCTTTCTTCTTTTTTCATATATTTTTTTTCTATTAAAGAACTGTGATCTGTAAAGTTATTGACAGTTGGGTTTTAGGCATATAATATTTTAACACCAACCCCACCACCACCACCAACTTCCCTCCACCAGTGTTCCCATATTCTCTCCCCAACCCCACCCTGTCCCTGCCTGTCCACTTGAAAGGCACATTACAAAGCTTCAGTGGTTGCAGCTGAGAGCTCCGTAGCACTGTAGCACTGTCCTCCCATTGTTCATCAATTTGCTTGAGTGGGCACCACTCAACAAATTGTGAGACTTGTTGTTACTGTTTTTGGCATATTGAATACATCACGGGTAGCTTGCCAGGCTTTGCCTTGGGGGCGATGTTTTTCATTTTGTTGAGTCTGTGTTTTGGATATTTGACTATACGACTCACCCATATACCAGTATAACTGGAGCCCTGATGCCTGTTCACCCATTACTTCCAGTTCTCTTCTCCTTCCCACCCCTCTGATTTCTCTGTCCTTGCTAAAAATTGGGGTCAAAGGTGATCTAGGCATCCCCTTTTACCACATCTCCTCATCCACTACACTGTATACCACAGATAAATGAAATCGTCTTGTTGTCTTTCTTCTTCTCGCTTACTTCACTCAATATGACATCTTCCAGTTCCAACCACGTTGCAACAAATTGCTTGATTTCATCATTTCTTGCATCTGCATAGTATTCCATTATTTATATTTGCAACATCTTCATAATTCATTTATCTCTCTGGACACGTAGGCTGATTCTGTATCGTATCTTTGTACTGAGTGCAGCAGTGAATAATGATGTGTGTATGTCCTTTGGGGAGAGTGTTTTTATATCCTGGGGTAGATGCCCCAAAGTGGAATTACTGGGTCTTATGGCGGTTCAATTCTAAGTTTACTGAGAACTCTGTATTGTTTTCCACAGCGGTTGTACCAGACAACATTCCCACCAGCAGTGAATGAGAGTTCCTTTCTCACCACATCCCCACTAACACATTGTTCCTACTATTTTTGATATATGTCATTGTCTTTGGTGTGAAATGGTATCTCATTGTCATCTTGATTTGGATTTCTCTGATGATAAGTAATGAGAGGTTCAGATGTTTTGAGAACACACCCACACACAGACACACACACCTCAGCTTCCTCTGCTTCTGGGTGTGGGTTTTGTAGGTTTGCCCTCTCTTTTTTTCCTTGCTTTCTTGCTTCGTTCTGATTTCACAGCTCCAAGAACACAGAGAATTTTCATTCATATTGTGATCATAATTTTTTTTTTCTGTCTTGCTCCCTTCCAATACCTGCCCCCACCCCCCCACCCCCTCCTATCTTGGGAACAGGGTGAACACGGTGTTGAAGAAGTTCTGAACATTTTAAAAAATGAATTTCGCACTTCCATGACTCTGACTGGTAAGTTTTAGAAATTCTTACTCTGGTGCAGAGCTGAGAGTGGGATTTTGAAAGAGAACAAAGTCCTAATCCAGTTTTACTTGGCCTGGTGCTGTCAGGAAGAGATTGTAGGGATAGGATGGCTCAGAGACCACACCCAGAGCTGAGATAGTACACTGGAGAGACTTTCAAGCAGCCAACCCTGGTTCAATATCCAGCACTGTTTAAGGTCCCCCTCCCTGCACTGCCAGAAATGATCCCAAGCACAAAGCCTTTGTAGCCCAAAGATTCCTCCACTCCCACCACCAAAAATATGGGTTGCACCCAAATGCAAAATCCAGTGTATCTGCCTACAAAAATCACATGCAATTTTTGATTTTGAGGGTCCCATTCTGCGCTAGGCTGTGCAGAATAGTTAGGCTTGTTGGATACTAAATACTGGGTGTCATCCTCTAAGTGTTTTCATGGACTGCAAAGAATCAAGGAATTGTATTCCAAAGAAGTCAGCAGCGGAACTGGGAGAGAGATAGGAACAATCAGGAGACAAGAAAAAAAGACTTGCCTTGCACCGAGACAGACAAGATCTCAAAGATACATGCAGGTGTATTCTAGTACAAAATGAAATGTAAAATAGTGCTCACCCACAAAATAATATAGGTTTTTAGCTGTTTCATCCCAATGGACATTTGAGAAATATGGAAAGGAAGCACACATTGAATAGTGGCATTTAGAATGACTGCAGAGTAGTGGTATGGAAGAAAGCTTTGAAGCCAGATTGAAGATCTGAAATCAGAACTAGCCTATGCTAATGCCACTGGTGAAGAAACTACTCTGTTTGGTTCTTTCTGAGCATGGTCAGGGTCACTAAAACTGTCAGACATGCTCCAACTCCAAGCAACCTACAGAGCCAGATAGTTCCCTATAAGGTAATTAGCAACTTCTGGGTCCTAGTTACACACAATGAATAATAAAGAAATAAAGAAAATCAGGAGACTGGCTGGACAGAAACCACTCTTTCAAATAATAGTCCATACGGAAACAGAAATTACTCCAACTGAAGAGAAATTCAATTATGTATATTATGTAATTATGTCATTTTTAAATTAGTTTTTGTTGGGGGCCACACTAAAAAAATCAGGTCTGGGGGTTTGTGGCATGCCAGGGGCTACTCCCTCGTGGAGCCTGAGGGTCTCATACAGAGCTATTCAAGAGGGTCCCTAAGGGCCAGCGTTTACAAGACTCCGACGTGCAAAGCTTATGCTCAAGTCCTTTGAGTCTGACCCCTTTGAAAAATATTGTATTATGGTTACAATAATCTTAAATATTTCGCTTTTGGTGTACAAAGAAACGGCACCTCCACCACCACCAAAGTGCCACAGGCCCTCCGTCACTGTCCTTATGTCCCTTTTAGTACACCATTCACTTACTACATTCTCTAAGGCCTGGAAAACTCAGTTCTGTAGTAATAGTCCCAAGGTCTGTTGTCACTGGGTACTGTCTGTTTCCTTGCTTTATTGATTTATATGCCACATATGAATGAGATGTTTGACATGTCTTTCCTCTTATTTATTTTGCTTAACTTGACTGTCACTGTCACTGTCCTCCCGTTGTTCATCAATTTGTTCAAGCGGGCCCAGTAACATCTCCATTGGAGACTTTGTTGTTACTGTGTTTGGCATATCAAATACATCATGGGTAGCTTGCCAGGCTCTGCCATGCGGGCGAGATACACTCGGTAGCTTGCCGGGCTCTCCGAGAGGGGCAGAGGAATTGAACTCGGGTCGCCCTTGTTGGCTGCGTGCAAGGCAAACGCCCTACCGCTGTGCTATGGCTTAACTTGACACCCTCTTCAAAGGTTCCCAAACATGGGGCCCGAGAGATAGTGCAGCAGGTAAGACATCTGCCTTGTACAGAGCTGAGCTGGGACCATCCCCAGCGCCCAAACCATCCCCTGTGCCTCCCCAGGAGTTATCAGATAAAAAGCAATCACTCAGCAACATCTGGAAATCTACTGTCTTTAAGTAATCAGAGAGAAAGTGTCCCCGCACCCACCACCACCACGATTGTACCTGAAGCTGCTACTGCCCCCTGGATTGTTACAGTGGGCTCCCCAGCAGACAATATTGCACCTCAGGAAACCCTGGAACTCTAACAAATGGTTTTTGGTATTTTGGTTACTCTATATCTTGTGTGTGTTTTTTTTCTGTTTGGGCTTATTTTGTTTGGACATACAGATGCTGGGTGCTTCAGTGGATTTTGCAACAGGGCCTGGAGGATTCTCTTTAACTCCACTTTGATGTGCTCCTTATATTGGTGCTGAAGGAATTGTTCTCCAATTTTTCCATTTGGCCATCTCAGTCCCTTCGTCTCTGGTCCCAGGCCTGCCTGTTTATGGGCCTCTGCCTTCTCATAGCTCTACACTGGGAATAGACAGCTTTAAGTGGATGGACAGATCAGTCATCACAACCAAACGAGAGACAGAGGACATGACTGAGGAAGAAGGGAAAGATAGGAAACTGTCTCAAGCCGGAATCATAAGTTTTGATGTGAGATTACTTTTCCATAGTTCAAATATTACTTTACAGTGGGCTCACTGCACTGAAACCTCTCCACCTGCTGCCTAAAAATCCCAAACTTTTCAAAATAATTGTCAACTCAGAGAAGATCTTCTGACTCTGAATTCCTATCTCTGCCGAATTAATTCCATGACTTATGTATATTTTGATGGGTTACTTGTGTATCCTGTGCCTGTTGGTCCTGTCCACTCTAACCCTTGCGTGAAATTCAACTTTTTGCATTTTTAGGAGGAAACCCCCTGTGAATAGTATTTTGGTGAGTTATCCATCTCACTAAAGTATGTTTGGGGAAGACAAGAACACGTGACATAGAGGTGAAAAGAACGTCCAAGAAAACATTACACATCTTCTTATTACATTTTTTCACCCTTATCATTATCATCACAGATTTTGTATGTGATGTCCACAATTTTCCAGCTTGGATGCTCTCTCTCTTTATCTCTCTATATCTGTATCACTGTCTCTCTCTTCCGCTCCCCCCTCCCGCCCCCCGCGGCACTCAAGACTTATTTTTAGCTCTGTATTCGGGGATCACACCTAGTAGGACTTGGGAGATCATATGGGGTGCAGGGGAGCTTACGCAGGTCAACTGCATGCAAAGCAAGCACCCTACCCACTACACTATCTTTCCAGCACTCTCTCTCCCTCTCTCTCTCTCTCTCTCTCTCTCTCTCTCTCTATATATATATATATATATATATATATATATGTTTGGGCCACATCCAGCAATACTCAGAGGTTATTCCTAGCTTGGCACCTAGAGTTACTCCTGGCAATGCTTAGGGAACCATGGGATGCCAAGAATCAAATCCAGGTCAGCTGTGTACAAGCTAAATGTCCTATCAGCTTACCAGCTGTACTATTACTATGGCCTCTCTCTTTTTACTCCTTATCTAGATTAATTCATTTTATTCCCTGTCTAAACCCAGCTAATTTTAATTTTTCATTTTAATTAAGATCCTCTACTAAACAAGGTGCTTTTTTTAATGAAGCAAGATATTTTATAGGAATTTATTTAGAAATAAATAAATTTATTTTATTTATAAAATAAATAAAATATTTTATAAATAAAATATTTATTTTATAAAATAAAATGGAGAGTGGTCTCAGCATGGTTGTGGCTGGTTCTGGAGGTCTTCGGCTGCTGGAGCTCTGCTCGGGGCAAGGAGGGAAACTCAACCCTCCCACCTCCAAGGGGCCCCAGTGAGGACAGCCAGGCACAGGGGCAGGAGACTCTCCACACGCATGAAGGTACCGGCAGAGGAACAAAGGCATGCGGGTCCTGGGGCTGAGATCTCCAAGCCTGCTCAGATGGGGGCTGAGCATCCTCCACCCAGATCCTCCATCTTCCAGTAGGAAGGGGTCACACCCACCAACTGACCCCCGGTCCGTGTAATCCCATCAATGGCCAAGACCCAGAGACTATAAAACCCAGCTCCTGAAAGTGCGCGGCCGCATTTGCAGCCGCGCAACATCTTATTATCTCATTCTTACTTTGGACAACCTGGCAGGCTACTGATTGCAATCTGCCCACAATGCAGAGTCTGGCAAACTCCCTGTGGTGTACCCAATATGCCAAATACCAGTAACAATGATGGGTCTCGTTCTCCTAACCCTGAAAGAACCTTGAATATGGCACTTTAAAATCTCAGGGCTAGGATGAAGGAGATGTTACTGGTGCCTGCTCGAGGCAATCGACGAACAACAGGATGATAGTGATCATTATATATATATACATATATATATACATATGCATATATATATGAATAGAGCTCGAGCGGGCCCAGTAACGTCTCCATTGGAGACTTTGTTGTTACTGTGTTTGGCATATCGAATACGTCACGGGGAGCTTGCCAGGCTCTGCCGTGTGGGCGAGATACTCTTGGTAGCTTGCAAATCATTTTGATCACTTTAGGTTGTAAAGTAGAAGTATAACTATTGGTTGCAAATTGCTCAGCTGCATTTTCCCCCTTTGATTATTTAACCTCAGGCAGTTGCCCTAAGGATATTAGATATTAGGATGAAGGAGACATTACTGGGGCCTGCTCGAGGCAATCGACAAACAACAGGATGATCATGATCGTAATCGTGATGTTGTGATAATTGGAATAAAGGAGAGCATGAACCCAGGCTTGCAAAGTAATTCCCAGTGCAATCATAATTAGAGCATTTTGGTGTCAAAGAGATAGAATAGCAGTGATTCCTGAATGCACAGCCAGAAGCAATCCCTGAGCATCACCAGGTATTCCCCTTCCAGAGAAAAAGCTAGGCCATTTTGTACTCGTAATATTTTACCAAGGTGAGCCACAGAGATCAAAGTAGGCTTTTTCCCAATCATAGACCTGTTCTCATGATGGGGTAGTTTACTAGTGGTATAGATAAAATATTGAGGCTCTTTCAGGGTCAATGGCATAAGACTCGTTATTGTTACTGTTTTTGGCATATTGAATATGCTATGGGTCGCTTGCCAGGCTCTGCCGTGCAGGCAGGATACTTTGGGTAGTTGCCGGGCCCTCCGAGAGGCATATATTTATTTTCCTCTATGATTTATTGCTTGCTGTGTGAACACCATCAAATATGGTGTAGTAATTATGGAAAATGGGTAGGGAGTGTCTTATGATGTGTCCAGGAATATGTTCACTCATATGTGAGTGAGGTCATATGTGAGGCTCGGCCCGAGCATGTGGAAAGCGGCCTGGAGTGTGGCAGCAGTTGGGTAGTGGAGGTTGGCTGTCGGGGCTGGGTCCCTTGGGGCGGCGAGGGCTCTCACCCCCCTCTGGGGTACCCTGAGTGAAAACAGTCTGGAACAGAATCCAGGTAAAGATGAGTAAGGAGAGGCTGCTAAAATCTCAGGGCTAGGACAAATGGAGACGTTACTGGCACCCGCTTGAATAAATCGATGAACAGTGATACAGTAATAAATAAAATAGATTTTTTTTTTTTACTGCATTGTTTTTTAGGCTGTCGGTCTGTCAGTGAGATCAATCGGGACCTGATCCAGTTCTCCAGGTTGTAAAGTACAAGAGTGAATAATTGGACCACTAAGGTTGCCAATGGAAGAAGAACAATTCAGCACAGAAGGACACTGTTCTCGCTCACACCCTCTCTCACTCAGTGGCTCAACCCGAAACCCTAAACCACTCTTCCATGATGGCTGGGGACCCTAAACCCCTTAACTTTCTCAATGTGCATGGTCTCCTACTTTTTTGCTCCACTCTTACCTGAAATCATCTGAAACGACCTCAAAAGGGTGGATCAATACCAACAAAAAAATTAATGGATCATATTTTAGCATGTCTTGCGTATCTTTGCCAAAAAGGTGGGGGGGGGGAGAAATTGGCAATCTGGACAGGAAAGTGATTTGCATAAATTATTCCCCAACCAAAAATTAAAATACTCTGTCTATAGATACCAGGAAAATAATACACTTTGGAATCCAGGCTCTGGAGCTATACAGGCATGCTGATATTTCGGATTGCTTCTGATAAGCTACATGACTTGGGAAAGTTTTTCAGTCTCCCTGTGGTTCCATCTCCTTCTCTAGAGAAGTTCTTTCTGCCAGCTGGCTATCTAGGTTGGGAAAAAAGTGAAGTGAGGTAATGTGCATAAAATCCAGAGTATAATGCTTAGTTCTCTGTAGAAAGTCTATAAAATATCAGCCGTTATTATTATTATTTGGAAACTTCACATTAATCTTGGAAGAGCTTGTTAAAATATCACCTATTCTTACCCTTGGCTACTTGCATAATGTTTTCTGTTGCACTTTGCATTTTCCACCAGTATGCTCCTGATTATAATTATAATTACTTACGTGTATGGCTCTCTTCATAAATAAACTATATAACCAGTTGAAAATAAAAAAACTACATACTCGATACTGAAATTGTCATCTAGCAGCATAACTCTTGTAGAAGAGTGAATTAATAAAGAGCTAGAAAAATAAATATACATCTACCAGAATAAAAAAGGCCCTCCCGTTGATCACCGATTTGCTCGAGCGGGCCCAGTAACGTCTCCATTGGAGACTTTGTTGTTACTGTGTCTGGCATATCGAATACTCTCGGTAGCTTGCTGGGCTCTCCGAGAGGGGCAGAGGAATCGAACTCGGGTCGGCCATGTTGGCTGCATGCAAGGCAAACGCCCTACCGCTGTGCTATAATATTATCTGTTGAAACTTATTTTTAGAGCAGGACTGTTTGTTATATCTAATACTTGGAAACAAGAAGAAAACAAGATTAAAAACCAATGTCCTTTCAGTACTGGTTCCCCTATGTTTCCTCTTGATCCCTGATATGTTCTGTTCTGTATAGATTTTATTTATTTATTTATTTATTTATTATTATTTTTTTATTAATTAATTAATTTATTTTGAATACCCATCTCTCCACCAGTGACCATTTCCGACCACCTCGGGTCCCAGTATCCCTCCCACCCCCCACCCCCTCCTTCCCACCCTGCCTCTGTGGCAGGGCATTCCCTTTTGTTCTCTCTCTCCCATTGGGTGTTGTGGCCTGCCTGTATAAGAGTTAAGCCTGGTTTTCAGGGAGAAACGTTGGATGATTTACTTTCCATTGATCACCTTGCATATAGGGAGATGTCGCACAGCCGTGTAAGCGGCCGCGCGGTTTGGAGTAAAAGTCCTGGTTGCCGCATACTTGAGCTATGCTTGCAGAGGCTCAGGGTCACCAGGGTTCCATCTGGAGGAGGCGGGATGTGGCACCTACCCCATCTGGGACTTCCCGGTGATCTCGGCTCCCTTCGGGACCTGGTACCTTCTCCAGGAGCTGTGGAGCCCCCCGCCCCCCCGTGGCCTTTCTTCTCTGTGGCTGTGTGCTATAAAGATGGCACTGGGGGGCCAGTTGTGGGCATGACTTCCGGAGTCAGAGGTTACCTGGGGGGCCGGGGTTGTCCCAGCAGTTTGGAGGAAAAGTCCAGGTTCTGGTTCCTGCATACTCGAGCTATGCTTGTAGAGGTTCATGGACACCAGGGTTCCATCTGGAGGAGGGGAGTTCTGTATAGATTTTTTAAAAAAATAGAAACAAATCCTATGTTTTACCTTTTAAAAAAATAGTATCAATCATGTTCTGATTTAAACAGGACAGAAAAAAAATCGACGTGATAGAAGAAGGAGAGTAAAGCTAGTTAGACTGATTGATAGAATAGAGGACAGTCTATAAAACTGAGACTCAGAGGTTGCATTAGGTGTCACTACTGATGGGTTGACAATAGGAAAATGTTGGGAGAAAAGCCCCTTTTGGTCTGCTTTGAAGTGTAACACTAATCCCTGGGATCAGCAACACATTTTGGTCTGCTTTGAAGGGAAGCCTGTTGCAACGCCTACTTATTGCAGGTCAGTGTTACCTGGGGACAGGGTGTTTCTGGAAAATGTGTGGTGAAGGTGTGACCCTATTGACAGAAAACATGTTTGTTCTGATCCCCCTGTGTATGTGACCAGTTGCACTCTCCCATCACCCTCCTCAACCTATAGTAAGACTTGATGTCTCTCAATAAAGTGGAGCTACTGTACAGGACCCCCACCCTGCGCATGTGCTCATTTCTTTTCTCTTGGAGGTGGCGGTGGCAAGGTTTGCTCTTTTCCCCAGACCCCTCCCCTTAGCTGGAGGGAAGCTCGGCCCTGTCGTCAGGACCCTGAGCAGCGACCCCTTGCTGGATGAGGGAGCAAGCTGAACAGAGGCCAGGAGAAGACCCCAAGGGAAAAGACTAATTGACCAAAAGTAAAACAGTTAGCATTTTTCACTGATAATCCCTGTTACCCCAGAAATTGTTACATGATTCTGAGTATAGAGGTATATAAAATAGGCAACATGACAAATGACCTGGCACCCGAGCTGCGCAGGAGGAAGAGAGCGGCTTGGAACGCCTTCAAGAGCATCCAAGAAATAGCTAAGAGGACAAAGAACCTCCGGCTCCGGGCACATCTCTTTGATTCCACTGTTCTTCCTGCATTAACATATGCCTCAGAGACCTGGGCCCTACGCAAACAGGATGAGAACGCTATTCCGGTCTCCCAAAGAGGAATTGAAAGAGCTATGCTTGGAATATCACGTTTCACTCAAATGAGAGAAAGAATCCGGAGTTCCAGCCTCTGTCTATGATCAAGAATCAGGGACGCTGTCTCGTTTGCCAAGGTGTCAAAAATCAGATGGGCTGGTCACGTAATGAGATTTAGAGTCAACCGCTGGACTAGAGCTGTTACCGACTGGATTCCACGGGATGTCAAAAAACCGTGTGGCTGCCCACCAGATGGTCAGACTTCTTCATCAAGATCATGAATGATCGGTTTGAGGCTCTTCTTGTTCCTAGAATGAACAGACGTCATTGGGCTACACTAGCACGCGACAGGGACAAATGGAGACGTTACTGGCGCCCGCTCGAGCAAATCGATGATTAATGGAGAGTCAAGTGATCAGGTGATAAAATAGGCACACCACTCCAATTTACTGCAGTCTGTTCAGCCATGCATGGGTCTGAGCTTAACTGTGGCTTTTGATCTCTTTTGAGATTTATTTAGGGGTCTCTGAAACATGGCCAGCAGTAGAATTTACAGGGTGGTGCTAGTGTTGGTTCGTGGGGGTGACTGCCAGTGCTTCCATGTGTATTGGGAATTGGGTGAAGGTACCCCACCCCAAGTCTGAGAAAGCCTGAAGATTTCCGTCACAAAATCCGCATACCAGAATTTTCAGCAGATTATATCTTGGTGTTATATCCTGATCAGATTATATTCTGAGAAGGTGGAGTCTGACCGGAGGTATGCCAGTGATTTTGGATTGTGGAAGCAAGCGGCTGCTGGGGTCTCTGCTTGGATGGGACACCAGGCCAACCCAGCCCCACCCCTCTGATTTACCCCATTCTGTTCGGCCAAGTGTGGGTCCAAGATTACTATGGCTTTTAATCTCTTTGGAGATTTATCTATGGGTCTCTGAAATAGGCTGATAAATGAGCTTGCATAGCTGAGTCAGAGGTGGTTTGTGGGCGTGGCCACACAAACCTAACTTTTAGCTATTTAGTTTCTTGGTAAACTTGGTCCCAAGTTATTGGGGTCTGACCAAGGCACAATGGCAATTTGGGGGTATCAGGAAGCCTGAAAGCACCATCAGGCTGCTGATGCACTCACACCGCAGGTACAGATTAACCCGTTGGCGGCACCATACCCGCCCCCCCTATTTTTAACCACAAAAATCTTAGGGGGAAAAGAGGAGTTAATTAATCCCAAAGGAAGGAAAAGGGAGTAATAGGTAAAGTGAAGTAGAAAATTGGCAGACAATAGTTAAATTAATCAGCAGAGCCTGGCAAGCTCTCCGTGACATATTCAATATGCCAAAAACAGTTACAACAAGTCTCACAATGGAGACGTAACTGGTGCCTCTTCAAGCAAATCTATAAACAATGGGACGATAGTACTACAATGCTACAGTTAAATTAATAGTATTTTTTTCTACATCTATGCATGACGCAGAAAAAAAAACAATTTTAGATGAACTCTTTATTTAACTATTAAGAGCCACAAAGCTTTTAGGAAAATATCTATGGGACTAAATATCTGAAAGTACTCTTTTTCTGGGAAGGATTGGTAAGGTTGGACTGGGAATTGACAGGAAAGGTCACGGTCCTCCCGTTGTTCATCGATTTGCTCCAGCGGGCCCAGTAACGTCTCCATCCTGAGACTTCTTGTTACTGTGTTTGGCATATTGAATACGTCACGGGTAGCTTGCCAGGCTCTCCGAGAGGGGCAGAGAAATCAAACTTGGGTCGGCCATGTTGGCTGCGTGCAAGGCAAACGCCCTACCGCTGTGCTATTGCTCCAGCCCTGACAGGAAAGAGACAATCAAAACCTGGAGTGAAGGAGGCATTTCATATCTTGTTTAGGTTGGTAGTTCTCTGGATTTATATAACTGTCAAGGCTCACTGAACTACACACTTCAGTTTAACGAATTAAACACCTCAGTTTTTAAAATTAGAAAAAGGGCCATCTTGAGGATCTTATGTCACCTCTGGGTATAGGCTTCAAAGAGAGGCCACAGCGTTTTTAGTTCTTAAATTCAGTGAAAATTGGTTTTGCCACAAAAAAATGAAAAATGGGTGCAAATAATCCTAAACAGAGCCACTGTGATTCCCAGTAACAAACCCCACTCTGCTCTCATGATTCCGGATAGAGCTAGGTAGGGGGTCACTAGAGAATTCCCATTCAACCATACTCTGAAGGGTGAAAATTCAGTTGAGGTGCCACTTTCATGGCACAGAAAAGGGCCATTCCCCATAAAAATTAGTCACTGGACTTTCTGTTTATGTTTTGGTTGTGTGAACCACAACTCAGGACTAACTCTTGGCTCTGCACTCAGGAATCACTGCTTACAGAGCAGAGGACCGCCTGTGGTGCCTACCAGGAATCAAATCTGGGCAAGGCAAGCTTCTGATTAGCTGCATGCTTGCTCTGGCCCTGAACTTGGGACTGAACTGACTGACACACTGCCTATGTCCAAACTGTGCAAGTTGGCAGGAACGAGTCAAACAACACTCGGAGAAAACACTGATGTAGATATATGTCTCCCCCACCTTCCCAAATGGGTTTATTACACAAGGAAAAGTTCTCATTAGGCAGAGAGATTCCATCAATCTAAGTTAAAGTTCGCTTATTCCCTCCAGGGCCATCTTTTGCCACCAGATCTCCTTGAAAGTATCCACAGTGGTCTGGATCTCACTGTAGCCTTGAAACCCATTTTATGGTCTCTTGTCTGAGAGGAGTGAGAATCACAAGTTAAGGTCACCAGTGGGGGGAGAAAGGAAGTGGGGGAGGAGCTAACAGTGATAAAAGGATTCAAGGTGAAGACATGAAGACCAAAGACGCTGTGTCAAAGGCAACAGCATCTAAAACTCCCATCCGGCCTTCGGTGGCGAAGGAGACCAGAACCCACTCGCTTTCTGCTGGCTTTTAACGTTTCAAAAAACAAAAGTAAGAGGTTAGTTCTTTTCCGCTTTCTTTCAACTCCTCTGGGGGCTTGCAGAGACAGTGGTGGTGGTGGGGGGAACACGGATCTTTGCCAGGATGGAGGGAGGAAACTGGAGGGCATGGGGGAGCTGACAGACAACGGATTTCTGCTGTTTTCCTTTCCAGGTCTGCCCTCTGTTCTCCAGCAAGTTCTGCTTCCTGTGCGTGTCTGTGCCCAGGTTTGGCCATGGCTGCATGGAGCTGCCTTGTGACAGGAGCAGGAGGATTTCTGGGGCAAAGAATTGTCCACTTGCTGGCGGAGGAAAAGGAACTGCAGGAAATCAGGGTGCTGGACAAAGTCTTCAAACCAGAATTGCTGGAGCAATTTTCTAGTAAGTAGAGTTGGGTCGTGGGCATTTTAGCCTAAAATCTGTGCATTCGTATGGGGAGGAGGTTCTCTCTAGCAAATTAAGCAATGTGGCAACTAAAACCAGAGTTATCGGAAAGGATGAAGGACGCTGGGTTGGGTGGTGGAGGCTGCTTCAGCCCAACCTAGAGCTAGCGAGGGCGGCTTTGGACCAGCCATATCATGCTCCAGACCTCTTTTCTTCTTTTCTGTAAAATCCCTTATCAGTTCTCTCCTTGTCAACTACTCTTTGATGTCAAGACTTTTGATTTAGGGATTGCTGTGCAACAACTGAAAAGACTGAACAAGTGCTATTGCCCCCATGGATTCAGCAAAGCTGACATAAAAGGCAGAAGGGTGGAACTGACTGGGGTGTGCATGTGAACATGTGTTTGTGTGTGTGTGCTTTCATGTGTGCATGTGTGCATGCATGCATGCATGTGTGTGTGTGTGTGTGTGTGAGAGAGAGAGAGAGAGAGAGATCAAGAATTGCCGAGAAGCTCAGATAGAGAAGGGAGCACCAAATAAAGGGGGTTGGGAGGATCCTCCCAGGATGGGAGAAGCATGCTGAAAGTAGACTATAGACCGAACATGATTGCCACTCAATACCTCTATTGCAAACCACAGCACCCAAAAGGAGAGAGAGAACAAAAGGGAATGCCCTGCCACAGAGGCAGGGTGGGATGGGGGGGATGGGGGGTAGGAGGGATACTGGGATCCATGGTGGTGGAAAATGGGCACTGGTGGAGGGATGGGTACTTAATCATTGTATAACTGAAACCCAAGCACAAAAATTTGTAAGTCTACAACTGTACCTCTTGGTTTGTCACTAATAAAAATATTTTTTAAAAAAAGAAGAATTGCCAAGAAAGAGAATGTGAGATTAGGAGTTTCATAGGAGAGAGAGGAAGGGTGAGGACATACAAATGCACGAGTGGGCTTGGGCGGGAAGGCAGGAGCAGGGCCAGAGCTCACCGTGGGTCCTTTGTCTCTGATCCGCTTAGCAATCAGGAGAGTTACTGGAGAGTTGGCTTGGCTCATTGTTTGGTCTCAAACAAATAGAATAGTTGGATTTATAGGCTATCACCCACATTCCCAGAGTAAGCCTGTGAGGCCACATCCATCTGGGCTGTGGGGACACTGGAGCATGCAACTCAGGGGGAAAGCGAGCCCCCGAGAGCCCCCGAGAGCCCCCGACTCGCGGGCCCCCAGGACCATTGGCCCCAGCACTGAAAGTTCCACACCTCAGCCTGGGATGACTCCTGGTAAAGTGAGTCATCATTCTCTTGTATTTCCTCTACTTCCTCTTTGTGTACCTCCAAACCAACTTCTCTTCCCCCTTCTCAGCTTTGACAGCCTCAGTATCTACAGATTCAGACCCTCCAGAAGCCCCCCCATGCCACCCTGGCTTTCACCCATCGCCCCCTTCCTTTCTCCCTTTCAGTTTCCTCTAACCTCCACTTCCTCCTCCCTCTGCCCATTCACAGATGACCAGCATCACTGATGAGTCTGTTTAGAATTCTGATGTCATTATCTTCACCCTGAACAGGTGATACACAGGGCTTCCCAAACTTGTTCTCCCGGTGCCCCCTTTTGACCTAGAAATGCAATCCGGGGAACTGTGGCCACAGAGAGCTTGGATTCATTCATTAAGCAGTTGACTTGGAATGAATTTGGGGTCATTCACTGCCACTCTGGAAATCTTTTGTTGATGTTAATTTCTTTCTGCCAACCCCCACATGCAGTTAGGTGACCCCAGAGGGTCTAGATGGATGGTCCCATTGTAGCTCACTGGGTGTGCCAGAAAGGAGCAGGGACTAACAGATTACTTCATCCTCTCTCTGTGCTGTTTTCATCTGTTGCTCTCCAAAACAGTTTGGCATCTAAGGTAATCATCCTCCATTTTAAGTGAAGGCTAAAGGCATAGAGAAGCTCCAACTTTTTTTTTTTATTAGTGAGACACCATGAGGTACAGTTGTAGACTTACAAATTTTTGTGCTTGGGTTTCAGTTATACAATGATCAAATACTCATCCCTCCCCCAGTGCCCATTTCCCACCACCACAGATCCCAGTATCCCTCCCACCCCCCATCCCCCCATCCCACCCTGCCTCTGTGGCAGGGCATTCCCTTTTGTTCTCTCTCTCTTATTGGGTGTTGTGGTTTGCAAAAGAGGCAATGGGTGACAATAGTGTTTGGTCTATAGTCTACTTTCAGCATGCTAGAGAAGCTTCATCTTTAGTTCCTCCAGCAACTTAGAACAACCACCACCACCCCACTTACAGTATAATCCTTCCCCCCTCCCCCCCCACACACATACACACACACACACACACACACACACACACACACACACTGGCTGGGTATGGGTAGCTTTCCAAATCATGAATGTATTTCTCACAGTTCTGGGGGCAGCAGTCCACGATCAGGGGTAAGAGCCTGCCTTCCTGTCTGTGGAAGCACCTTCCTACCATAGAGTCACACTGTCACTGTCACTGTCCTCTTGTTGTTCATCGCTTTGCTCAAGTGGGCCCAATAACGTCTCCATTGTGACGATTGTTACTGTGTTTGGCATATCGAATACATCATGGGTAGCTTGCCATGCTTTGCTGGGTGAGATACTCTCGGTAGCTTGCCAGGCTCTCCAAGAGGGGTGGAGGAATCGAACTTGGGTCAGCCATAGAGTCACACAGTGGAAGAAATAAGCAAACTCTCTGAGGTCTCTTTCCTGAGAACTGGTGACACTCCGAAGGGATTGACCCTTTAGGGCCCCCCGAGACTCCTGGTGCCTCACAGCATCTCACTGGCACTAGGATTCCAGGATAGGCTTTGGCACTCACACTTCCTGGCTGAGATTACTGAACTCGTTTAAGACCCAAGCTGGGTTTGAGACCAGGCGGTCGAATTGACTCCCTTGGCCACTGGTTTGTTTGTCAGTTGCTTCTCTCCAGGCCTCCCTTCTGCCTGGTTCATGCCACAGAAGTAGTTGCACATTTAATCCTTAGAAAAAACTAAGGCTCGAGACTTGGTGGAGAAGGGGGCAAAGACCCCGCACCGATAGTGCCCCCTTGCGGTCTCTTTGGTTCTGGTTTAAGAATCTGGTTTAAGAATCCAGAAACCCAAGCTTCTGGTTTAAGAATCCTTTCTCCACTTGCTTGATTTGGGGTTTCCCTGGCCCTTGTGACATACTCCCTTGAGGCAGTCTGTTTGAGGCGAGCCACAGGGAAAAACAGAAGAAGGGAGAGGTAACGTGTAATTAGAGAAAATTCTCTTCTCGGGCTGATTCCAGCAGCTTCTTCCCTGTCGGTGGAGAGAGAGGAGAGCACACTTCGCACTCCAGCCCTGCACTTTTCCACTGTGCTTTCTCATTGCCAATTGAACTGACTTGGCCGACTCTACCTCGGAAAGAAACCAGCCCTGCACCGGGGTGACAGGAGCGAGTGAGAGGTTACAAGGGGTTGTACGCTTGAATCGCTAGTAGAATGTGACATGGACCTGTACTTCACGACTACGATTCTGCTTCGGTGACTGTACAGTGGAACTCAGAACAAACCCCACCTCATGAGTCCGCTGTCAGAGGTGTGTGCAAAGTGCGAGGCACCTATGTAGGGTGGTAATCCCAGTGACCCGGCGTGTGACGTGAAGTCATGGGTAAATCTGAGGTATCGATGCCTCTTCACAGTACTTTATTTTTTTTATTTTTTATTTTTGCTTTTTGGGTCACACCCGGCGATGCTCGGGAGTTACTCCTCCTGGTTCATGTACTCAGGAACTACTCCTGGTCGTGCTCGGGGGACCATATGGGATGCTGGGGATTGAACCCGGGTCGGGCTGCGTGCAAGGCAAACGCCCTCCTCGCTGTGCTATCACTCCAGCCCCACTTCACAGTGCTTTAGAGGAGCCTCAAGACCTGATGTCCACCAACTGTCCTTAGCTGACTGACCACAACGGCATATCTAATCTATTCGGGTTTTTGTTTGGTTTTTGGCATGGGGGTGCGGGGGGGCCTGCCAAGCTGCACTCAGGAGGCCTGGGGGTGATTCTCAGCCAATCATGCAAGCTGCTAGTTTGAATGTGATGCCGCTTAAATCCTGTAGTACAGGGAAGTTCCAGGGCTGCACCCCGTAATACTCAAGAGCCTCTGTGGTGTTGGGAATCAAACCTGGGTCCGATCTCCCAACACTCCCAGTATCTGCTTTGATTGTAGCTAATAAATTCCACCTATTTATTTCCTTTTGTCTTTCAGGCTGACGCCCTCTCACCCGCACTGGAAACCTTCAGGCTGCGTCTTCCTCTTCCTGGGCACTGTGCACCTACATTTTGATTAATAGCTTGTTCTCCTTGATTTCTCTTATTCATCCCTCTTTTCCCCACCTCTCACCAATCATCTCTCATCTCTCTTCCGTAAGGTGGCCAGGGCCAGCGCCCACTCCACCATCCTCTGTGTCTTGCCTCTCATTCCAAATCTGAACATGATCCTTCATTTGCTGACACAATTAAATTCTGAGTCTTTCCTCTGCTAACCCTCTCCCACAATCACCCTTCCTGCTCTTCGCAAGAAGTCAGATGCACTTGTCTGACTCCCTTGAACAGTTTTATGTTCCAGGCACACTCGACTTCACACAGTTCAATTTTCTCGGGGATGGAGGGAGGAAATGACTTGGGGATGGAAGCAGGTGTTTGCTCTTGTCCATTTAGCGCTACACATTCTATTTTCTATGCTTTCACTGAAGCAGGCTTCTTCCCCATTCTCCCACTTTACCCATCCTCAAAGACTTGGTAAAATGCTCTCTTTATCAGGAAGCTTCCCAGTCAGTCCGAAGAGTTAAGTGATGTTACCTGCCCCCTGTTCTCACAGAGCTGCGGAGCAAGGTCAAGGTGACGGTGTTGGAAGGAGACATTCTGGACAAGCAGTGTTTAAGGGAAGCCTGCCAGGGCATCTCCGCTGTCATCCATACGGCCTCTATCATCAATGTTCATAGTATCACCCAAGAAGACAGTATCATGAAGGTCAACTTACAAGGTAGAGTCCTTCGGGGGGCACGTGGAGAAAGCTGAGACAGGAAGAATCAGAAAACAAGAGGAGGAAGGCAGGGAAGGACCCTGCTTTGGAAACCATTTGGGCTCTGTCCCCAGTCTTTTTCTCCTCGTGACCAACGAGGAGATTCAAAGTGGCTCTCCTGTGATTTTGAGTTTGACTTATTTGCCCAAGGAAGCTTGGCAAGAGCAGAAGGACTAGAAGGTAGCCCCAGCTACCTTCCAAAGGCCAGGACAGTGCTTGCTACTGCTGTTCCAATCAAGGTTTAGGCAAAACCCAACTTCTCTCGTCTGCTGTCCAGTCACGTCCTGCTGCCCTGGGCCAAGTGGAAGCTTTGGGAGGAGGGGCAATAGCATGGTATGGGGGAGGTGGAACCAGGCCTTAGGAATGCTTTCTCCCACCTCACTGTAGCCCTCCTGAGTTCTCCAAGGTGGTTCTACTGTAAAGCCAGGAATAAACTGCTTTCGATCCAAGATGCTCCAAGTCAGGTATGAACTCCAGCCTGGGTCCGCAGGCAGGATCGCCAAGATTAGTAGGGACCTTAGCACCCTCCTGGCCACCTCCAGAAGGATTTCTCTGAAGGGAAGTAGCAAAACATGTCCATGGCAATGAGGCCAAATAGAATCACCCAGTACTTATTTCCCCTGTAACAGTTTCCTAACCGTTCATCACTGTCCATAATATCATCTCTTCAGCTTGCAGTTCTGTCTGCTATTAAAAGCAGTTCTCTTTCTTTTCGTTTTTGGTTTGTTTTGGGGCCACACTCAGTAGTGTTTGGAGCTCATTCCTGGCTCTGCACTCAGGGATCACTCCTGGTGGGGGTTGGGGGACCATACGGGGTGCCAGGGACTAAACCTGGGCCAGCCATGTGCAAGGCGAGCGAGCCCCTTAGCCATGGTACTATCCCTCCACCCCTATTAACAAGCAGTTCCTAACCAGGTACCTAATGGTTCATACTCCTTATTCAATACTCATTCAGATGGCTCTTTCTGCCTTTTATGGTTTTTTTTTTTTTCACTTTAGACACACTTGCTTAAGGACCTCATTTAGTTGCTATGTAATCTCATTCCCCCAAATCCTGGGCCAGTCTCTCTAGATCCCAGGTCCCCATCTACCTTTCCAAGTCAGTCTACTCAGACCCCCTTCCCAACGCGACTTATCACTGTGGGGTCTCCAGTCTAAACAAGCACAATCTCAGAAAGTTCCTTTCTTGTAACCACCCTTAACCAACCCCGCCCCCCTTGAAGAGGGTGCTAAAATGAGTCTGTTTTTAGTGTTTATTCCCTCTCTGATGAGTCCTTTTCATCACAGCTCCCAGTCACAGGTGATTCCAACTCCCTGAGGACCAAAGGAGCATCAGCTTATTTAAACCAGTTTCACTGCCAGGTTTAGAAATTACTTCACCTCGAGGTCATTTCCTACTCTGCAAACAAACTAGCTACAAATTTTCTCCATCTCTCTCTTTCTCTCTTTTTTTGGTTTTGGGGCCATACCTAGAGATACTCAGGGGTTCCTACTGGTTCTGCACTCGGGAATCACTTCTGGCAGTGCTCAGATGACCATATGAGATGCTGAGGATCAAATCCAGGTAGACCCCATCAAAGAAAGTGTCTTACTCATTGTACTATTTCTCCAGTCTCTGGATATCATTTTTTTTGGAGGGGTCACATCCGGCGATGCTCAGGGGTTACTCCCGGCTATGCACTCAGGAATTACTTCTGGCCATGCTCAGAGGACCATATGGGATGCTGGGGACCGAACCTAAGTTGGCCACATGTCAGGCAAATGCCCTACCCTCTGTGATACCGCTCCAGCCCCATGGATCTTATTTTTAAATATGATCCTTGTGTCTCCTCCAATCCAATTTACACACTAGGCTTAAAAGAGAAACAAAAATTACCAAAAGTAAAAATAATCCATTGCGGGCCTGCAGATGTGACTCAAAGAATAGAGCTCAGAGCTCAAGTTGTAAGGCGCTGGTTCCGAGTCCCAGTACTGCATTGTTCCTTGGAGCACCACTTACCCCCACAATAAATAAGACAAAACGTTGTCGAGGAAACTGTTGGGAAGGACCTCTAGATTGCAGGGGCTGAAATGTTTGTAAAATCGTCCCATGATAGGAATTGCCACTAGAGAGCGCACTCCTCCTCCAAGTTCTTCATGAGGCTAAGGACGGTTGGAAGTGTCAATTTCCCCGGTACTTAGCACAGTAGCACTGTCCTCTGGTTGGTCATCGATTTGCTCGAGCGGGCCCAGTAACATCTCCATTGTGAGACTTGTTGTTACTGTGTTTGGCATATCGAATACGCAACGGGTAGCTTGCCAGACTTTGCCGTGAGGGTGAAATACTCTTGGTAGCTTGCCAGGCTCTCCGAGAGGGGTGGAGGATTGAACCCAGCCTGCAGAGTCCACCGCGTGCCAGGCAAACGCCCTACCCGCTGTGCTATCGCTGCATATGTGCGTGAAGAAAATTAAGTCCGGTTTTAGGAGTTGTCTTTGTAGGGAAAACATAATGAATAATATAGCCTGGGGCTTGAGTATGTACTCAGTGGTAGAATGTTTACTTCACTCGTGCAAGTCATGAGTCCAATATCCAGGAGCACCACCCTCCACCACCCCCTCCCCCCCCGCCAGCCCCGCAAAGAACACACTCTGGACCTCCAACTTATCTCTAAAACTCACCGATAATTTCTGAATCGCTCTCTATAAAAGTCCTGTGTCAAAGTTTCTATTGACCCTCAAAAACAAGAAAAATACAAAAATTATTATAGGCATGACTCTGTATGTGTTGAGTTCTTATATTGCCCTCTTTAACCAATTACTAGGACTTTCTATATTCTAAGAGCTGTCTAACTAAGTTTTCATTTTAAAATAGTCGTTAGTGAGGTGTTGCTCTCCAAAGTCAAGTGCTGGGATCTTTTCCTTTTTGTCTCTTTCTGTGTCCACAAGATGGCCACATGCCCGGCAGAGACAGACCACACTGCTCTGCACCCTCTCCCTGCTGGGGGTGGAGTCTGTACATGGTCTGGGGGCAGGATTGATGACTGAACTAATAAGGTGCTTCCCGCGAGCAGGTACCCAGCTCATGTTGGAGACCAGTGCTCAGGAAAACGTGCCCATCTTCATCTACACCAGCTCCTTAGAGGTGGCTGGGCCAAACTCCTACAAAGAGGTTGTTCAGAATGGTCACGAAGAAGAGAATCGAGAAACGACATGGACAAACCCATATCCATACAGCAAAAAGCTTGCCGAGAAGGCTGTGCTGGCAGCAAATGGACAGACTCTTAAAGATGGTGGTACCCTGTCCACATGTGCCTTAAGGCCCATGTATATTTATGGGGAAGGGTCTCAGTTCCTTTTATTCCATATGAACAGGGCCCTGAAGAACAACAACACCCTGGAGAAGTTTGGCCAATATTCTGTAGTCAACCCAGTTTATGTTGGCAATGTAGCCTGGGCCCACATTCTGGCCTTAAGGGCCCTGCGGGACCCCAAGAGGGCCCCACGCATCCAAGGAAAGTTCTACTACATCTCAGATGATACACCACACCAAAGCTATGTTGACCTCAACTACAATTTGAGCAAAGAATGGGGTTTCAGTCTTCAGTCTGGAATGAGTTGTCCTGTGTTTCTGGCTCACTGGATCGCTTTCCTTCTAGAAATGGTGAGCTTTCTCCTCTATCCAATTTACAAATATGATCCCCCTTTCACCCGCCACTTGGTGGCATTGTCCAACAGTACATTCACCTTCTCCTATAAGAAAGCAAAGCAAGACCTGGGATACAGGCCACTCTTCAGCTGGGAGGAAGCCAAGCAGAAGACCTCGGACTGGATTGGCTCCCTGGTGAAAGAGCACAGGACCCTGAAGACAAAGATGCAGTGATCTGGGGGTGTCAAGGATGGATGTGTGTGGGGCCAAGGGAGTTTCTGTCTAACTCTCTTACCCTACCCCTTGCTTCATTCAAAACATGACATGGAGATAGAAAACCTGCTGCCGTCCTTTTATTAGGTGGCCATAGTACTGTCTCTTCCTTAACTAGGATTCTCTCTGCTTCTGTCCCCCATCCCGCCCCAAAGACAGACAAGACTGTTTACTATTATTGCCAATGCCAAAATCTTGTATGTTGATTCTGAGCTTGAGCCCCTTTGATGCAGAATTTTGCCCGTTAGTTCCATTTACTTTATCAAATGAAACAGCACTTTTTCCTCTCTAAAATTACTATTTCTTCAAGCAGCTGAATAAAAATATGAATAAATGTTTTCATGGCTAATTGTGGTTGGTATGAAGACGTACAATCCTCCCCCCGCCTCCATTTCCAGATATCATTACTTCCAAATGCAGAATTTAGAAAACACAGCCTGGAACAGAAATTTGGCAGGTTAGAACTAAAACTGACCAAGTGTCTACGAGGTCTCAGGTAAGCACTGGATGGCAAGAAGCCATCCAGACTCATGCTTGATCCTCACCAGAACCCTAGGTTTAACTGTTGACTCTTCCCGTCTGATCAATATGTAAACTTGTTCACCTGTTCATAGCCATACTAACTGGTAAGTGACCAGATCCTTTGATCCATATTGACATGAAAGCCCATAGCTTGTCACTGAATTACACAGACCAAACTGCCCCAAATGCCCGACGCTGCTGGGTGAAAGCAGAGGAACACAACAGCAGATTAGATCATTGGGTGCTGGTGCTGGGAAGATCCTTTTGGTCGCTTACTTCTTGCTTAGTCCTCTGCATGGCACTTCCTAGGATCCTGAGAGGCACCCATGAGGGTTTTCTTGCAATTTCAGTTTTCTTACAAATTTCTTGCAATTAGATGATTTGCACAGGGACCAGGGGAGAGGCAATGCTGCCACTGGTGAGGACCTTCCAAAATCTCCAAACGCACCTGGACATATGAGTGTTGGCCACTCAGGCAAATTCATGGACCTCTATTCAAATCTCTCATTACACTAGGAAGGTGCATCACGGGTTCCTAGAGATATTAAAGAAATGCATGTGGATTCCCCTGGAAACTGATCTCTACAAACAAGGTTGGGAAGCCTCTTTTTTGCCAATGGCCATTTGGATATTTAAAACATCATTCACAGGACATATAATACAGACTGATAAGCCCTGGGCAATGAAAGAGAAATGTCCATGTCTCTCTCAGCATGTGCTGGGGCCAGATCAGCCTATCTCATGCGACTTTTTATGGTAATGCGCCCTATGCTCCCCACGCTGACACAGCCCTCCCTTCAGATTCACAAATCTCCTCCTAATACCAATCATGTCCACCTCGCCCTCTCTACCTTTATTCTTTTTCCTTCCCCTCAATATTCTACTCAGTCACTTGACCTCCCATTTTCCTCAACTCTCCTGAGAAGAAGAAACCAACCAAAACATACATAGTGACTTGCCTAGTGGCACATTAACTGAGGGGAGAGGCCGCAGTCCAAAGCAGCAAGACAAGTCATCACACAGGAAGCACTTGAGGAGGATGTGGGGGCCAGCATGTGGCTGCCAGAATTGACACCCGTAAACTATGGGAGTTTCCCACGAGAGTTCCACTCACTCCAGTTTCCTTCCTATGTGTAACACAGGATAGAGACCATAAGACTTTATGGTCGATGAACTCAGATGAGTTTGATGACCACAGATGAGACCATTTCACACACTGATGCTGGTGTGTACCACCAACGGTTCACACTTGAACATGGTTGAATTAGCGCCAAATCGCAACACCGAATGGACTAAGCACTCACTCCTAAGGAGATGAAAGAAGACAGCATCTGGCTCAGGTGAACAGGCTTCCATCACCTTCAAAACTCTAGGGACAGAAGGCAGCCACAGGCATGAGGCGGGAATGCCCCGGCAAAGGAGGGCAGAATAATGTGCAGCGGAAGAAGGTACCCCTCCTACCTTCTGTCACTATACAAAACACAAGAGCCCACGTCTGTCCAGACACTGTAAGTGTGCATACCTCTGGGCGTGTATGTGGCAGCAAAGGCAAAAGAGGAGGTGGCAGGATGAGGTGCTCCCTCCTCACCCCTGCTCGTTACCTAGCAGAATCCCAGACCTAGAAAGCAGCAGAGCAATTTTTACTGCTAAGGAAAGGATATTTATGTCCCCAAAATGAGGGCGGGTGGTGGGGAGTGACAAGGGATCTGGCCATCTGGTGGTCTCAAGTACATAAGCAAGCAGGAAAGCTTGGGAACGTTCTGGCCATGGAAGCCAGCAGTCTTCACTTCGCTAGGAGCAGGGCTACCGGGTCCAGGCAGGGCTGCACTGCATGGCAGAGGCTGGATGGGAACGTGAAGCCTCCCGCTGCCCCCACCTGGATCTCCTCTGGGGAAAGAAGGCAGTGGCTCCGCTGATAGCATAGTGGGTAGAGCGTTTGCCTTGTACTTGGCCTACTGGGTTCAATCACTGGCATCCCACAGGCTCCCTAGAGCCCGCCAGGAGTGACTCTTGAGTGCAGAACCAGGAGTAACCCCTGTGGCCCGAAAACAAAACAACAAAGGAAGTGAAGGAGCCCATGCTTAGTCTGCTACTTGGCCAGTAAGTTGAGAGCACAGCACTAACATTGGAGCCATCCTCGGGCTGCGGTGGTCCAGGTGCACAGGCAACCGGGAGAAGCATGCAATAGTGCGGAGTGGAAAACTGAAGGTGTGACTCCACACAGGCCTTGAAGCTGGCCCAGAGCACATGCCTGCTGGGGTGATGGGTCTGTAGGCAGGTGGAAGGGGGCAGGAGCAGGGATCCCCACAGGAAGCAGAGCCAGCTTGTGGTCTTTGCTCCCAGTTAAGAATTGTGAAATCACTTCATTAGAACAATAAGACAGAAGTGATCTCAGTTTCTCCTTTTCTAAGTTGCTTGAGGGTCAAAGTGGTGGGGCTGGGGGAGCCTTCTGGAGCAGAGTGCTGTTAGGCCTGGCTGCTCCCAGCACCCTGACCAGCCTACACAGGAGGCTAATTAAGACTTTCTTCATGGAAATGCTTTACCATGGGTTTACAATGCGATATAAGTTGGGGGAGAACAGTTTACAACTCCATACGCAGCGATCGTCACACACCAAAGCAAGCACTGTGCCAATCTCCTGATTAGTTGGACAGCCTTGGCCTTGGTGCCTTGTCATCCCTCGCCCTGCCTCGTGTGCCATTTTTTCAGTCTGATTTTAGTTGGGATGTTTGAGTTCCTCTTCACTGGTTATTTCTATTCCACACAGGAGGGAAAAAAACAACCCAGGATGGCTTTTTAACTTTCTGATTTACTAGGCTTAGCACAGTCCCCTCAAGCTTCATCCACGCTTCTGCAAAAGACAAAATTTCATCTTTTTAATTCACCAAGTAGTATTACACAGAGGATAGACACAGATCCCCCTGCCTTTTCCCCCAGGCACGGCGGGTGGGCATAAGGATAGTTTCAATGTCCTGACTTAATCACTTAATCACTTAACTTCCCGTTAGTCATCGATTTGCTCGAGCGGGCACCAGTAACGTCTCCATTTGTCCCTGTCGCGTGCTAGTGTAGCCCAATGGCATCTGTTCGCTCCGGGAACATGAAGAGCCTCAAACCGATCGTTCATGATCTTGACGAAGAAGTCTGACCATCTGGTAGGTGGGCGGCCATGCGGTCTTTTGACATCCCGTGGAATCCAGTCGGTAACAGCTTAGTCCAGCGGTCGTCTTTAAATCTCATTACGTGACCAGTCCATCTGATTTTGGACACCTTGACAAACGAGACAGCGTCCCTGATTCTTGATCATCGATGGAGGTCGGAACTCCGGATTCTTTCTCTCATTTGAGTGAAACGTGATATTCCACGCATAGCTCTTTCAATTCTTCTTTGGGAGACCCGAATAGCGTTCTCATCCTGTTTGCGTAGGGCCAGGTCCTGGGCCCGACGCAATGTCCTGACTATTGTGAATAATAGAGTTATCTCTGAATTAGTGTTTGCAGACTCTTCGTATAAGATTTCTGGGTTAGATGTTATTTTTTCCCCCTTCTATTCTCAGGTTTATGATTTTCATTTTTTTTTCATTTCATCATCCTGTTATTCGTCGATTGCCTCGAGCAGGCCCCAGTAACGTCTCTTTCATCCTAGCCCTAAAATTATATTCAAGGCTATTTAGGAGAATGAGACCCATCATTGTTACTGGTATTTGGCATATTTGGTACGCCACGGGGAGTTTGCCAGACTCTGCCCTGTGGGCAGGCTACATTCGATAGCCTGCAAGTTTGTCCAAAATAGGAATGAGACAATAAGATGTCATAAAAAAAAATCCTGATAAGATGTCCGGGATCTGGATTTTATAGTCTCTGAGTCTTGGCCGCTGATGGGATTACACGGCGCCAGGGGGCCAGGTGGTGGGTGTGACCCCCGCCTACTGGAATTTGGAGGATCTGGGTGGAGGATGCTCGACTCCAATTCGAGTAGGCTTGGAGGTCTCGGCCCCGGAACCCGCGTGGCTTTGTTTATGATAGCACAGGAAAATCTCTGCAGGAAACAGCCCAGAGGTCACACCAGTCCCTCTGCCCTTACAGGGGCACACAGGAGCCTCCACGGAGCCCTGGAGGGGGCCTGGACACCTTTTGGAGCTTGAGCTAGTGCCGTAAGTGCAGTCAGTGTTGGTCTTAGTTTAGACCTTGACTTTAGCTTTGTTTTGAACCTTGGCTCTACCCTTGGCTTACCCCTTGGTTCCAACCTTGGTCTTTGGCCAGCAGAGTCTGAGGACCTTGGCAATGTGGACATGAGTCTTTGTCCTGAGCCTGGGTAAGCAATGTATGCAAACCACTAAGCTTGTGACTGTTGTTCTTTGTGACATGTGTCTGGGCTGCTTGGGTCTCACAAGGGACTTGATGGCCTCGGCACAGACACTTACGGCCTTGGCACTATTGCCTGCATCTGCTTCAGGCCCTTCTTGTTGTACTTCTTGGCAAAGCACATGTTCCTTAGAAATTTGGGGTCCAGCCCTTGAAGAGATTCCATATCTCTGTGATCAGGGTTTCTGACTGCCATGTCTGTGCCGGTTTTGAGATTGGTTGTGTGTGTGTGTGTGTGTGTGTGTGTGTGTGTGTGTGTGGTTCTTGGATTTGGCCACATCTGCACCAGGACTGTGGCTTCCCCAGTGCTGGAACAGGAAGAGCATCTAATTTTCATTTTTTTAGGAAGCTCCATAGATAGAGATGGTTCTCCTCCACACAACAGTGTATGAGGATTACTTTAGCC